GAGCAGTGGCAAAGTTGAAAGCATGTGAATGCACCCGCAAGAGTGTCAGGTTGGCAGCAACAGCCTCACAGGTGCAACCGTGTGGCTCAGGCATTGCTCCCATTCTGCCCTGTGTAGGTAAGCAACCATGGCCCAGGTATCAAGGAGTGGCTCTGTTCTACCGCACAAGCTGCTACTGAATTTAATGATTCTGTCTCCGTTGAGATTAATTGTAAATATTGACCCAGGCCACATTCACACCACATGCTTAAAGCTCTAGGACACCACTTTGAACGATCATGGCTTCTCCTAAAGAATTATGGGAGCTGTGGTTTGCTAAGGGTGCTGAGAGTTGTTAGAAAATCCCCATTCCCCTCCCAGAGCTACAATTCCAAGAGTGGTTTAACAATTAATCTCACTTCCCAGGGAACTCTGGGGACAAACGACATAGCTCAGAGCATGAGATTCTAAATCTTAGAATTGGGGGTTTGAACCCCACATTGGGCAAAAGATCCCTGTGTCCCATCTAACTCTACAATTCTATGATTCTGTGTCAGGAGCGGGAGTCAGGAGCAAGTCGGTAATAAATCACAAGACATGAGTAAAGGTAACTCTTTATTCAAGGAAACAAATTCGACTCGGGCCAGGCCTAGTGAGCACCGGAATGCATCCTGGTAGATCTTTCCCCTCCTCCCCAGGTCCTTCCCAAGCAATCTGAGACTATGTCACCATTTCTGTATTTGCTCTGCCCTCTTCATACCTCTTCTGGTTCTGGGAGACCAGGGTGGGAAGGGAGCTGGTTGCAGCAGGAGGGAGAGATTTCTTCAGCAGCATCCCTCATCACGGCTTCTAGCCCCCCACCCCACCCTGTCCAACCTCTGCTTCTGCCTCTGCTTCTGGGCTGCTCTCTGCCCCAGCCTCTTCCTCTCCCAGTCTGCTCTCTTCTTCCTCTGAGCACTCATCATCATCCCACCACCAATCCCCTGACTCAGAGCCTTCTTCCCTTGAGGGTTCCCCAATTGGTATCTGCCACCACTCCTCTGCATCCAGCCAGTCCATGACATTCTATAATTCTAGCTCCCAGAATTCTTTGGGGAAGCTGTGACTGTTTAAAGCAGCATCAGAGCGCTTTAAATACAGGGTGTCAATGTGGCCTTACAAAGTGTCAGCACTTCTGGCTTTCTAATGGTAGCATAACTAGCTTTGCCTCATGTTGCGTAATTACTGGACCCAAGGCATCGTTTGCTTTGGCCAAAAACCGTATTTCTCCTTGTTTAGCTTCATGGATTCATGGCTCTGATCCATTGCTCAGCATTTTCTTGGGATCTTCCACTGACATGCCATATGTTTGGATTCCATCACTGAAGACAACTGCTCCTTTTCTCTGAGCGGTTGTCATCTCCCTCTGAAAAACCTCAAGAGCGTGTTCCTTTTTATTTTTTCTCCAAAAGAAGAGCTTGGGTGTTTGGGATAAAACCTAAGCATCATTTCCAGGAGATGATTATGCACTGCTGTGCTAACAAAATTCATGTTTGGGGTGCTTCTACACAAGAGCTCTTCAGCGCTATTAAGACATTGCTTTTTTTTGCAAGTAGCAGGAAGCAGAATTAAAATTAGGGTTCCATACAGCTTTAGCTGTGCCCTTTCATATGGCTGAAGATGGTTCTATAATATCTTCTCACAAATAAGCTGCTCTCAGCCACTTACCTGGCTACTTCAGGTTTATTGCTTGCAAGTTTAGCTGGTTTTATTGTTTTCTTATTGCTCCCAGTGGGACGATTACTAAGTAATGTCTCCTTCAATAGGTGCTCTATGAATTGCCCCATGTTAATTTATTCTCCCATAAGGGAGTGGCCTTTGCTTCTGGTTACTGATTTCCTCATATCTTTTTTTCTTAATTTAATTTTTCTATTTTTCCATTTAAAAAAAGGAATGAGGAAAATAGGAAACCAGTAATTAAGTTTCCTATAACCCCATGGGGGGGAGGGGCAGTTCTGAGGAGCTCCGGAAAATGAAGCGGGATCTCAGACGGCTAGAGCAAGTATGGCAACAGACTTGTGACAGAGCCTCAAAAACATCTTATAGGACGCTTATGAAAGGTTATGAGATGGCTATGAAAGCTGCTAAGAAATCTTACTTTGCAGCTTCCATTGCATCCGCTAGCCCTCGCCCGGCACAACTTTTTAGAATAATTAGGTCAATAACGTCCTTAGGAGGACAACCAAATTTAAGCACAAATTCGACCCACAGCTGTGAGGCATTCGCGAGCTTTTTTGCGGAGAAAGTCCTGTTGCTCCGCTGTGACCTCCCTGCCAATTTAGATACAGTGACTGAACTGGAGGCCCCTCGACTGACTTCAGGTCCAGTGTTGGACCATTTCGATTGGATACTCCCTACTGATGTGGATAGATTCCTCCAAGTTGGTAGGCCCACCACCTGCCTCCTTGATCCGTGCCCGTCTTGGCTGATTAGGGAGTGTCCAGATGTTGCGCGGACCCCCCTGGTTGAAATTATCAATTTGTCCCTTGACACGGGGACATTCCCGGGGAACTGAAGGAAGCAGTGGTGTGTCCACTCTTAAAGAAAACTTCATTAGATCCCTTAGACCTATCCAATTACCGCCCAGTTTCAAATCTTCCATACCTGGGTAAGGTAATTGAGAGAGCGGTTGCTGAACAGCTTGGTAGGTTTCTGGAGGAAACATCGGCATTAGATCCATTTCAGTCCGGTTTCCGTCCTGGTTTTGGGACGGAGACGGCTCTGGTTGCCCTAACAGATGATCTCCGTAGACAACTGGATCGAGGCGGGTCAGGACTGCTGATCCTTTTAGATTTGTCAGCAGCCTTTGACATGGTCGATCATGATCTTCTGGACCACCGCCTCGCAGACATGGGGATACAGGGCATAGCCCGTAACTGGTTGTACTCTTTTATCTCTGGTCGGGGACAGAGGGTGGCACTAGGGAGGGAAATGTCGTCGCGCCACTCCTTGGTGTGTGGAGTGCCGCAGGGCGCAATTCTCTCCCCAATGCTTTTTAACATCTTTATGCGCCCCCTTGCCCAGATTATCCGGAGCTTTGGGCTGGGCTGTCACCAATATGCTGATGACACTCAGCTCTATCTGCTGATGGATGGCCACACCGACTCGGCCCCGAACACACTGACCAGATGCTTGGAAGCTGTGGCTGGATGGTTTCGTGGGAGCCGATTGAAACTAAATCCTTCGAAGACAGAGGTCCTATGGCTAGGTCGGGATGGCATGGGGATGAGGGACCAACTCCCTTCTCTTGCGGGGGCCCAATTAGTGCCATTGCCTTCCGTTAAGAGTTTGGGTGTAATCCTTGACGCCTCCCTTTCCATGGAGGCGCAAGTTACAGCAACAGCCAAGGCGACATTTTTCCACCTTCGCCGCATCAAGCAGTTGGTCCCTTACCTTTCCCGCCCCGACCTGGCCACAGTGATCCATGCTGACGGTCACCTCCAGGCTTGACTACTGTAATTCGCTCTACGCGGGGCTGCCCTTGAAGCTGTCCCAGAAACTCCAGCGGGTACAGAATGCTGCAGCGAGGCTCCTCACGGGGTCTCTGCCATGGAAGCATATTCACCCAGTGCTTTTCAAGCTGCACTGGCTCCCGGTGGAGTACAGGGTCAGATTTAAGGTGCTGCTTTTGACCTTTAAAGCCCTTCACGGCCTAGGACCCTCGTACCTACGGGACCGCCTCTCCTGGTATGCCCCACGGAGAGCCTCAAGGTCCATAAATAACAACACCCTAGTGGTCCCAGGCCCTAAGGAAGTTAGATTGGCTTCAACCAGAGCCAGGGCCTTTTCAACTCTGGCTCCGGCCTGGTGGAACGCTCTGCCTCATGAGACCAGGGCCCTGCAGGATCTGATTTCTTTCCGCAGGGCCTGTAAGACAGAGTTGTTCCGCCTGGCCTTTGGCTTGGAGCCAATTTGATTCCCTCCCTCCCTCTCTTTCTTTTTCTTTTCCTTCTCCTCCTGCGATGAGGCTACATTTTAATATTTTAATGTTCCATTATTTTAATGTTGTATTTTATTTTTGTTTTTAAGTTGTAATCATTCATCTTGTTTTTATTATTGCTTGTAAGCCGCTCTGAGCCCGGCCTTGGCTGGGGAGGGCGGGGTATAAATAAAAAATTATTATTATTATTATTATTATTATTATTATTATTATTCTGACGTGGAGCAATTCGCAGAGAGGCTATTCAAGGGGAAATTACAAGTCACCAAGCTAGGGTCAACAGGAAGCAATAAAATCAGCTGACCATACAAAGAGGAAGTGATTTGTTTACAGGCCCAGGAGCCTTGAAAAACATTAGTACTGCTTTGTTGGTACACGTTGAACAACCTCAATCTCCAATTATATTTTAATATTTTAAAACAATCACAAATCATGTCTGGAAAAACATGGGAGGGCAGCACAGAAAGCAAGTGATTGGAAAAAATATATGGATGTTCTATAAAAAGTAGGTGAACAAAGGAGAGCAATTCCATAGAAAAGGGTTAGTGTGGAAGCATCTGTGGACTAGACGAAGTTAAAATGGAAGGGGAGGCTCCCCACTTCAGAGGTTTGCCCCCAAATTCTAAAGAGGGACAAGGATGGGGGAAGAAAGATAGTGCACACATTCTTGCTCCCCTGCCAATGTGTTTATTTTAACCCACAGTGGTACCTCGGGTTAAGAACTTAATTTGTTCTGCAGGTCTGTTCTTAACCTGAAACTGTTCATAACCTGAAGCACCACTTTAGCTAATGGGGCCTCCTGCTGCTGCTGTTGCCACTGCTACACAATTTCTGTTCTCATCCTGAAGCAAAGTTCCTAACCCAAGGTACTATTTCTGGGTTAGCAGAGTCTGTAACCTGAAGCGTCTGTAACCTGAAGCGTCTGTAACCCGAGGTACCACTGTTCCTGGATGTACCATAGTGTAAAGCAAATCTCTCAGTGTGATAAGGTGAAGTGATGATTCAGAATACTCAATAAATGCAACCTCAACAGGATTTGTTTGTACATTTGTTTTATTTCTCAGTTTGTTCGAAATGACCTGTACCACAAGAATACGATTTATTTAATTAGTTATTTGACAGTTTTTTCTTTCTTTCAGGAGCAGATAATAGTTGAGTAGTTACTGTTTTATTTCACTCTTGGACTATGACACCCTGCATAGTTTTGCACAGGCTTTCCCATTTTCCCCCCTTTGCTTGTTTTTGGCTTCTCTTAACCATCAAGTCACCAGAGCAGGACTGGCTTTGGACCACATGACTGGCCAAAAAACCTCAGCCACATACATTCTTAGGGTTTCTTTCCTTCCTTTTTTGACAGCTGCTTTAGCATGGTTTCAAAATACATGTTTGACATTTCTGAACACATGAGTCAGTCTGGTTATGAAGAGAGAAGAAAATAACGCCCCTTATTTGGCATGAACAATACTGTTGGGTTGTGGTTTTGCAGTTTTTTCATATTTTCACTTCAAAATAATGCCCGCCTTTTTCTCAGGTGCAAGGGGTGGTAGGTATCGCACCACTGATCTGAAGTGATTCCCGTCAACTTGGGTGTTTGCTTGCTGGTTGCACTAAAGGCCAGAGACCCCAGAAAGGAATGTGAATGCAAGCAGCATTTGTTGCCTCCGTGGCTCATTGGGAGGGTTGTATTTCAGAGCAGAAGACAGTGACCTCTGTAAAGCTTTGGGAAGGAGAGAGTACACTGCAGGTTACAGGTAGGCACAGAAGTAGGGTGACACAGCTTCCTGGAAAGGGGGAGGTTGACAGATGTCATGCTTCTATTCTAGCGAAGGCACTTACCTGCATGCCTTGCCCTAAACTAATCCCGGGGTTAGCACTTGGGGACTTTATTACCTACTCCATGGAAGCTACTATTGTCTGAGGGTTTGCAGGTGTCAGAATCATTCTTGTACCAGTAGTTCGTACCTTACAAAATATTTGACTCCTATGTGCAGGACCGGATAATTGCTTAGTGCATGCTTGCACACACACACATACACTTTCTGCTAGTTCCAAAGGCATGGAACCAGAGCTGTCCCTATTGCTAAAAGCTGAAGCTGGTCTGTGCTATCCACTCTCCCTATAAGATCTAAAGCATTACCAAGTTGCTGCTCTGGTTGATTGCTACTGTCTTCCTCAGATGTATGTTCTATTAAATTAATTTGGAATATGCGGCCTCAGCCCCCTCTACGATTATGGACGGTATCCACATAATGCCTTCCACCTCCACGTGGATTTCCACTTGCACAGTGGGACTCCCCCCCCTCTTCTCCCCCTCCTTGCACCCTGCAACCTCCCCAAATCTGCTCTTGAGGGTTGGGGGGACCCCTGGAAGAGATTTAGGGGATTGGTGGTCAGAGGAGAGTGGAGAAGTCCCATTGTGCAACCAGAAATCCTTGCGCTGGCAGGACCATGGCAACCCTATATCTCTAAGATTAAACCATCGTCAAAATTACTGAAGGTTATGTGGTCTTCACTTAGTTTTCACCAGTCTTCTTCAACCTGGTGCCGTTCAGATGTTTTGGATTACAATTCCCATCCTCCCTGACAACTGGCCATTCTAGCTGGGGCTGATGGGAGTTGGAAACCCAAAAATCATCTGGGCGGCATCAGATTGGGGAATGTTGGTTGAGAGTGATGCAGCTATATCTCTGATTGAACCCAAAAGGGTGCAGTGAGTAATGGACAAGCAGGCTCCACATGGCCTCTGACTTCAGAAAAAAATAAACACTGGTACAATATATCCTTGATTATGCAGAGGTGTGGGCAATGCCCTGCTTGAGAGCTAACCAGAATGGCCACAATTGGAGACAAAAGGCTGCACTAAATGGACCCAGCAAGGCAGTGACTTTATGCTCCAGCAACATAAGATGACCTTAGGCTATTTGCAAATGAACAAAGTGGTAGTTTTACAAACATGGGAACGAGAAGTATTTGTTCCTGCGTTTATTGCGTTTACTGAGTCTTTGCTTGTTTACTGCCCCAAAGTGGCAATGAAGGAAGGCTGCTTTAAATGAGCATGAAAATGCTCCTCCCAATAAGGACCCATGATTGAGGCCTGTAGTGCCAGGAACTCTTTCTCTGGCCTTTAGTAGAGAAATCCCGCAACCATGCTTTGCAAAGGAGAGACACAGGAACATAGGAAGTCTTGTGCAAATTCAGGTCTATTTGCCCGTAGCCCCATATTATCTACTTTGATGTGCAGTGGGTCTGTAAGGTCTAAGCTGGGGGCCTTCCCCATCACCTGTGAGCTGATCCTTTTCAACAGAGATGCCAATAAAGGAACTCAGGACCTTCTGCATGCCAAGCAGGCGCTCTGCCAGTGAGCTACTGTTGTCCCCTACATGTGATGGCTATTTTGGAGAAGAATGACAATGACTGTTAGTAGGATAAAGAAAGCTGGGGAGAGAGGAAGGCTACTCTGAGAAAAGGAGCATCCATCAAAATACTTTCCCCCATGGGTGGAAAAGAAGTAGGGAGCCATTTTGAGCAGAAAACCGGAGCTGTTTGTCATCCAGAAACAAAACTGTCAGGAGATTGTAAGTATGGTGCAGCCCCAAATCAGTTGCCAACCGCAGGCGTCCGAAGGGAGCTTCAGGATTACTGTGTTTATTTCTGTCGCATCCTTCATAGTCATGGAAGACCAGTTTAGCAATCTGCTGGCTCCCTCCCTGCCCACTTTTTCCCTCTTCAAAAAAGAGGACCTTTAGATGAGCATCTGGATGAAGCAGCAAAGTGAATTAGTACAAAGTAAAGAAGTTGAGGCCTCTGTTCTGATTTACCTCAGGAAGCAGACAGGACACTGCCCAGCCCTCACTTGGCAAATGATATATATATTTTTGCCATCCATCCCTTTTATTGCTTTGGTTAGACCTATTTTCACATGTTGTTTTGACTACTCCCTTTGGAAGTAAAATTCACTTGTATGGTCATCTTGGCTTCAATGCTGCTTCTGCAACAGTGGGTTTAACTCTTGAACTCACTGCTGGATCCCAAAATAACCGTGAAAACAGACACACAAACACATCACCCTCCTGAAAAGCCACAAACCAGTCAAAGCCATCTGGACTTGTGGCTCTGTGGGACTGATGAGAAGAAAAGTAATTAATCTTTGAAAAGAGGGTTGGCAGGGGCCTAGCTAACTTGGAAGCCATTATTTTTATAAATATAACCTAGAAACCTTACCTCCCCAATCCCTTGATGGGTAGGGAGAAGCACTTCTAATTCTCAGAGGCACTCTCTTACTTATCACTTCAAGCCTGCCATTCAAAACAGGTTTTGGCTCAAATATAAGCCTTGCTACCCTTGCCTTCCTTCAGCTACATTCAAGCTGGATTCAAGCAACTGACCTCAATGAGAGAGTTGCCACAGTGGGAGAGGAATGTGGAGGCAAAAATTAAGTATCTCCCCTGGGTTGTTTTAGTTCTCTTAACATGGCACAAGCCCAGCAGGTGAGTTCTTCTAATTCTTCTTCTCCCCTACCTCTCAGGGAATATATCCAATATTTGGATTTGGAGCTTGAAATCTATTGGTGAGGAAAGACTGGGAAATGCCCTGGTTTGGGATAACTTTTATTTTGGCCCACTCCCTGTGATTCCAGTGACCTCGGGCCATGTGGAGAAAGAAGGAAAGGAGGTAGAGGGTTTTCTTTTTCTTTTGAAATAGCACCACGTCTAGGAGGATGAAGGGATGACTGAGGGACTACAGCCTTGGAACAACAAAAAGTATCCAGCTATTTCCCTCTGCATGTTCTCACACAACGAGATCTTCTCTCTATGTCTCTCTCAAGGACATGTCTCCAGCTTCTCTAGTAACCACCACCGGGAATGTTATGATTGCACATGGGTAGGGGAAAGCCAGGTGCAAATATGCTGTACAATAACACAGGATATCTTACACGGTCAGGCCTGTCCTTCCCAATAAGGAGGGCCTCTATGTACATGTTTTCTGTGTAGCTTGAGCACAGGAGGCAGCCATTCTCGACTTAAGAGATCCCATGACGCTCCTCCCCAAACAGACCACCATCACATGGACCACAGCATTGAGGAAAGGGGTCAAGCTGCGGACCCACTGATGCCCAGATATATTTTTTAATCTCCTCTCACGCCACCATGCTATGAATGTTACAAACTCTTATTTTTCACCATTTTCTGCTTCAGTCCCCACACCCCTTCTCTTAGTTCAAAGAAGATAGGAATGGGCTGCCCTGGATAGTGCAAACAGCATCACTCTTAGGGGCTCCAGACTTCCTTTGGCTCCCTCTGCAAGTGCAAGAGCTTGTTCTATAATTTTCCAGAAAGAAAGAAAGGAGGGGGGGAAGAGTGATGTTGATTAAAAGAGTTTCCTTCTCTGTACACAATAATCTTCAGATGGATGTACAGACTGGCGTGGCTGCCAGATGGATGTTAAATAATTCTTCCATAATAAATGATTGGAGATAAAAGCCAGCTGCCACCTCTGTTTGGTTAGCTCCGTGGCCGCAACCTTGGCTTCCAGTTTGCTTCCTGGGCCTGTCAGACCTTGGCTTCCAGCATTTCTAGGAAGAGTTTGTGCATGGGGACCTTGCCCTGCAGTTTGATGCTATAGAAGTGCTGCACGGCCTTGGCAGCTGTTTGCCGCAGGAGGGGAAGGGTGAGCAGCAGCTTCCCCGCACGCCGTGGTTCCTCATGACGCTGGCTCAGCTCGTAATCCTGGAGAGCTTCGTGGAGAAGGTCTTGGAGTTTCTGCACTGCATCCATGTCCTCTATGTGCATTGAATCTGCAAAGAGACAACCTTTTATCATATGTGGTGAACCTGTCCCAAGGTGAAAGACTTCTGGGAAAAGATTTATAATGAATTGAAAAAAAATGTTGAAATATATATTTATAAAGAAACCAGAGGCCTTCTTTCAGGTTTGGAATTGCCCAAGAAAGATGTTAAATTATTTTTGTATGCTACAACCTCTGCTCGTATTTTGTTAGCTAAAAAGTGGAAAACCCAAGAATTACCAACAGTAGAAGAATGGCAGATGAAGATGATGGACTTTTCGACCTAACCGGAAGAGTCCGCGACCAGAAGGAGGAGGAATGGAATATATTTAATGATTATTTAGCTAAATTTGTTAAGTTAAATTAACTGGAAATAGCTTGCAGATACTTAATAGGCTTAGGATTTTATTTATGTTAAGTGATGAATTAATATGTTTAATTATATAAGGTAAAGATTTAAGGATGTTAATGTTTAAGTTAAATTTCATAAAAACTGGGATTTGGAAAACCGTTAAAAGGACATGCAATGAAATTCAACCAAGGGGAAGCGAGGAAGTCACTTAACAAAGTTAATAACTGTAATTTTCAATAAGGCTACGATTTATGTTTGTTATGTTTGTCTTGTTTGTTTGTTTGTTTGTTTGTTTGTTTGTTTATAATATTGTGAAAACCAATAAAAAATTTTGGGGGAAAAAGAATCTGCAAAACAAACAAACCAGCAAAAAAGTGAGAGGGCAAATTTGCCTGTCCTTTAAGAAGAGCTGATGCACCCTTCTTATGCAGATCGCTGTCTTCTGAGGTGCGGTGTGAGAGGCAGCCTTCTCTGTGGCATGCACCACCTCCTAGATGGAACTTCCTGCCCTGGAGGTTAACACATATTCCACCAGCATTTGAGAACCTTTCTTTGTCTACAAGCCTTTGAGTCTATTACTGTTTGTGGCTGCAATCTAACTCCACTTGCCTGGGAGTAAATCCCATTGCATTTTCTAGGACTTCTGAGTAGACATGGTTAGGATTGTACTGTAAGTTATGGGTTCTTGTATTTTCAGTTCGGGATCTTATGGTTCTTTCTAACGCAATTTTCAGTGTTGAGGCATGGGTGTGTGTGTTTTTAATGTATCTGTTTTTCATGATGGAATGTTTTTAGATAGGCGTCTCTACAATGTGCAGCTGCCACAAGCCAGGTTCAAGCACTGGCTCTGTATCACAGAGCCTTTCAGTGGCAGTTTTCCAAGATCAAGGTAGCATTGGAGTTAGTAAAAAATGAAGTGAAACAAACCACAATGCTGGTTAAATATGAAATTACTACAACCCAGTGATCTGGAAGCTGTTTCAACAACTTGGGGGATATAAAAACTGAAGGAGGTGCTCAGAACATCCTTTCTACCTTGACCACCGTCAGACTGAACCAAAGGAATCATAAAGGAATGTTATCTCACTCTAGTAGTCTAGAAAGTCCCCATTTGGACCACATGTAAAGCTCATGAACCCAATGTCCAGCCCTATCTTTCAGTGAGACTTTCAGTTGCATGGGCGATGGTGGCCAGACTCTCATGTCCATTCCAGATGGTAACCTTACCTGAATTGGCAAGAGCCAAGGCCTTGAGTGTCACAAACTCTTCCTTCTCCACCTTCAGCTTCTTATACCTGCGCACAAGCTGCAGGATGGCCAGGTAGAGCTCCAGCAGGCCCGTCAAGCGAGAATGTTCCTCATCCATGATGTAATCTTCAGCATAGACCAATTTATCCTCATAGGGTAACGAGCGGTAGACGATACCCAGGATGAGTATCTCCATCCATGCACTCTGCAATAGGCTCATCTGGTCCCCCAGGGAAAGATTAGAAAAGCCTGGCAGGGCAAGAAGAGCAAGTCAACTTACGTACACAAGTAGGAGACGATGTTTTAGCACTGCCTGCTCCAAGCCCTGAAGCTCAGAAATCTGGTGGGGACTCTGTTAGGTCACCCAATGATGGAAACCTCAATATTCCCATGGGGAGCCCTTGGCCATAAACATTTAACCACAGTTCAAGGTAAAAAAAAATGCTCCTTTGACAAAGTGCTAAAAAAATATATGAAACTTTCAATCATTTCACACACAGGTGTGCCACATTTTAAGAGCCAGTTGCATTTGCAGTTCCACATGGTAAGCCACTTCCTATGTCAGGCATGGCCAAACTTGACCCTCCAGATGTTTTGGGACTGCAATTCCCATCATCCCTGACCACTGGTTTTGTTAGTTAGGGATGATAGGAGTTGTAGTCCCAAAACATCTAGAGGGCCAAGTTTGGCTATGCCTGTCCTATGTAGTTTGGGTGATTTTAACCATTCCATGACACACATGGATTTTGTAACGAATACTTTTATTCACACAATCCCATTTGGAATCACCTTCAGCTTGCCACATACGAAAGCTTCCCATTTGCTTTGGAAGCTGAACACATGATTGAAAGAAAGAGTAAAGACTCAGGAGTTTTATTTAAAAGGACTGATCTATGTAATTTAGGTGGAACAGCTGCCTAATAAACCGTGTATAAATGTATAAACAAATAAATGTAGAGCTGTGGATGTGTTTTCACACTTGCTGCCATAGAATAGCATTAAATACTGCCATGTGCCTGGCTATTAATGTTAGGCTTGCTTATACTTCACACCAACAAGCTTTGTAGCATTTAATCACAAAAGTCCATTCACAATCCATTAAGTCCATTCAGGCTGCAAACAGAAGGACCTCCTCCATGAGTGCAACTCCCTTCCAAAAACAGAAGTTCATTCCCTTTTCAGAAAAAAAAGTTAGGATCCAAGTCAATTTTTCTTAACAATGGAACTCAGTCCAGTTTTATAACATTGCCTCCACCAACCAGAGGATCATTAATGTTACTTTAGGACCCACAGGAACAAACAGCACCTACTCTGACATGAACACCAATTTGGGTACCAGGCTGACCAGACACTGAAAAGCCATGAATGAGAACTGAACAAATTAGAACTAGTAGCATTTATTGAGATCCCCACAACAGAGGAATGCTGTGCTTGAAAACTACATGGTAAGATCATGTATGTTGGCAGGAATTTTTCTAGGTGGTGGTGGGGATGCAAAGTACATACTAAATGGGCGCCTGGCTAGTTTCTCACACACAAAAAAAGAATAGTTCCTGTACGTTTTGCCTTATAACTCAGATTCCACAAGTACTAGAAATGTACTCTCTCACTTCCTTTTTCTTTTTTAACGTGAAAACTGGGGCTCTGGAGATGATGGTTCATTCGGAGGGAGGCAGTGCCACCTGGCCTGTCCACCTGCTCTCAAAACTGGAAAAGTCAGAAGGAATCTGGGAGATGAATAACATACAGTCCACACTGGAAAAATGAAATCAGGCATTACAGCCAGTGTGGGAAAGGAGGCAAGGAGATGGGCTTTGTTTCTGTGTGAAACACAAGTGTAAGAAAAGGCCGCTTCCTATATCACAAATTTCTTAATGTGCCAAGGACAAATGTCTGTCTACAAGTGATTCAGACATGAGTAAGACACTGGGAGTAGTTTGGCATATGACTATCTGACTCACAAACAGACACAGGTATAAATTTCCCTCTGTTGCAACTTTACTCACAAGAATGTCATGGACATCTCACTTTTGCATGATGAAATTTTCCATTTTCACTCTTGAGATGCTCTTTCAAAATCACCAGACTCACACAAGAGTCCTGAAGAAATGAGGGGAACTGTTTTTGCTGAGGGAGGGAGACGATGAGAGTAGAAACACTACAGACAACTGAGCTTCTTCTCAGTATTTCCTGACTCTTCCTAGTCTGTCGCAACACATACAAATCCTACATATAAAGAAAGCATGGAGACTCAACCTAGCCCAAAGTCTGCCTGCTCCTTCCACAAAGAGTGGTTTATTTTCACACCTTGGTTACAACCAGGAATGGGGGAGAAATTCATTTTGTTTTATTTGCTTAATGTGAACCTAGATAACACCATACTTTCCAAACCAATATGCAAATCGAAATGCAGTTATCCTTATAACTCACTCTTCAACAAATTTTGTGATGCAGTTCTCACCAAACATATATTAGGGAAAACTAAGCACAAAACTGCATGTGAGCAAAAATAACCCACAACAATGCCTTATATTAGGCTCTTGCAAAAATGGATATACTGCTTGCAAAAACTGATGTATTAGGATAAGTGTACCCCAAAATGTGTTTGAGTTTTTAAGGGTTTGCAAACTGATGCAAACCGAATTTGAGATTGGAAAATTTAGAACATGACATTGACAGATTCATCTGTTCCTAGTAACAAACAAGGAGTTACCTAACATTTCTTGCCAAGTGTTGTAAGAGATCATTCTGGTTCCCTTTTCTTCTTTTTGTGCAACTGCTTCACTGCTGCCCCACAGTTCCTCCTAAGCTCATTAACCTTTGACTCAGAGACGCTCCAGTCCCCCTAGCTGTGATTTACGCTCAGCAGGATGCCTTTATTCCCATAGTCCTTTGCTCTGGTACTCGTGTGCCTGCATCTGGGCCAAGGGAGCCAGTCACTGCAAGGATCATTTGATTTCTCTTGTTATCAACTTGGCAATTAACAAAAGAGCTGGTGATTGCTGTATTGACTGGTCGGGAGTTCCATTTTTCTGTCTCAGCTATCTCAGCCCAAGGAAGTGAGGGCAGAGGGATGGGTTAGTGGTATTTATTTATCACTACACCATGTTTTGTGTTTGTGTTGCCAGAGGAGGTAAGGGGTGATAATGGCACGGCAGTCCTTGGACATCCAATTTCCCTTATCAGGCCACTGAATAGAAAAGAGGCCGCAGGCCACATTAATTAACAGATACCAATCAGCTGTCACGTGTTGTGTGTGCGTGTGTGTGGCCTGATGGGTAGGAGGGAGAGATCGATAAAGCACTGGGGAGGAGTACCAGAAGAAATAAGAGGACAGCTGAAGAGGAGGCTGGGACATCAGGGACATGAGCTGCAAAACCAACCCTTCTTGGCGAGTCTGAAGATGGAAAGGAGCTAGGCTAGACAGCTAGGTTGCAGTGCATTGCTGACCACAACCCAGTGCTTTGCCCTGTGTATGTCTGAATAACAACAAGCTGCCCTTTTAGCAAGGGAGCTGAGTTCTTCTGTTGCTAATCCGCATTTATGTAGCAAGAAAACTATGCTCACAAGTTCTGCTGAAGACCTGTAAACTATTCATCGTACTGACTTATTACGGTCAGTTCATTTATGCTTGACAATGTCCTAATGGAGGAAGGCGCTTCCATTCCATAACCAAGAACCATCAAAACGAAATAATAATCCAGCCACTTTAGCAGTTACAGAAAAAGTTCAATCTTTTCTGAGCCAGACAAGCAGACATCATCTGAAACAGAGTGAGAGATTAAACATCCCAACCACACAGAACAAGCAATGCATGAGGTATTTGATCTGGTATCTCAGGGCCTCTTCACTCATTACACTAGGGATTTTAAGTGTATGCCTAAAGTGTGCAGCGTGAATGTGATAAACACACACTTGAAAATGTGTTGCACACAGGTACGTGAAACAGAGAACTGTTGATAGTAGATCCCTGCCAAGTGTACACACAGTTCTATGATGGGCAAAGAACACCCTGCCACTCCAAGTTCATATCCTGAGCATTGTGCTCAACACTGTAGCTGCGACTCTGGGACAAAGCAAGAGCACTTTCTCACCAACTCTGTCCAGAGAGGATGGTGAAATCCTCTTTGTCCGATTCAGACCTGATAGCTGTCATTCATGCCGCATCTCCTTGATCTCCAACTGGGTAATGCAAGGTATTCTATAGGGGGCTGGCATCAAAATCTTCTCTTTTACAAGAGGGAATTAAACAGTGGGATTCCTAACGCATCTGAGCAGAGAGCAGATCACATGCTGTGCAAGAAAATGCCATGCCCGCTGCAGATACCAGACTGTGAGCAAACAATGAAAAAAGCGCAGTGCTGAGATCAACGTCCCCCAATCTGGTGTCCTGAAAGTGTTTTGGACCACAATGTCCATCAGACCCACGTGTTGGCTGAGGCACACTGATAGGTTCACAGCTCTTTCCCTCATAATCACCAACAGGGTGGGTTCTTTCATAGACCACAAAGAGGGCTATGAATTCATGGGGTTTCAATTCTGGCTCAGCACTGTTTGAGACCAGTGCTTTTAAGTTAGTAATAAATTATCTGGGATCAAGATAAACCTAAGTCTGTGGTTGACACCAGTTATTCAAGAAGGTTTAAACCACAACAAACTATAAGAATGCCAACAGAATAACTACTTGTGAAGGAGCTGTACCACTCAGGGAAAAGATCTTGGATAGCAGTGGAAAGCTCACTGAAAAAAACAGTCAAATCAGTGTACTGTGGGAGTGAAAAAGGCAAATCCTGTTTTAAGAAAGAATGAGTAGATGAGAATTAAAGGAGCTGAAAATAAAATGATTGCTCCATAATGCTATTATATAAATCTGTGGTGTAAATGGGCTTACAATACTGCATGCAGATTGGTTGCCCTTTTTCAAAAAGACACCATAGAATTGGAAGAGGGATAGAATAAGGCAGCTAAAATGGCCAGAGGGTTAGAGCATTCTCCCTATAAGAAAGGAATATTTGGATGATCTGTTGTGTTTAGAAAAAGATGTCAAAGGGGACATATCTCAGGTCACCCAGCGAAAATGATTAGCTCTAGGCTCGGGTCATTTTTTAAAAAAATGCATGCATAACCATTTTATGGTGATGGCCACCAGCTTATGCATCTTTCTTAAAAATTAAAAATAAATAAACACACCAGAATATATAGAATATATAGAATCTATGGCTCTAAACTAAAATGGAGATGGCTAGTATCTCTATCATGCCCTGTTTGGAGGCATCTGAGAACTGATCCAAATGATGGCTGGAGTGGCTAACTTTCCAGCTCCATCAGGCACACATTCCAGAAACATGGAATCTGTCCTGTGAGAACAAGGGTGGGGAATCTGAAGTTCTCCAGATGTTGTTGAACTACAACCCCCATCATTCAGTCTTCACCATTGGCCATCTTGGCCGGAGGCCACAGATTCCTCCTCATCCACGTATTAGAAAATTGTTGCATGCCTCACATTGCTACAAATAAAGCACATTACCTCATCCTTTCTTACAGAGAAGCATGCATAAGCTCCTCTTGGCAGTATCCCAACTGAACTTCACAGATTCCCTCTGAAACCTGTAGTATTTGTACCCATGGGTGTAGAAACCTATTCTTTTTTAGACATTTGGCAGCAGGAGCTACCAGAATCTTTAGAGAGAGGGGGGGGAGAGAGAAGAGAGAGAGAAAACACATAATTTGTGGCAAGTGGAGTTCATAATCTGTTAATTTATTATCATCTCTGTCATCCTGGAGGGCCATTAGCAGCTGTAATAAAGAGAGATGTAATTATAGGATCTGAGGCCACTCTAGACACAGCTGCTGTCACTCCACTAGCCATATTTCATCCTGTGCGAAGCTCTCGTCTTCCCAGCAAGAGCAGCAGCAAAACAGTCACCCAAAGAGCCCCTGTCATCACCCCTCCACAGAAGTCTCCCCTTCCTGCAGGGAGACACAGTGATGGGGAACCAAGGTACAGGTGATTAATGCAGGGGCTGGGTGTGAAGCATGAAGAAAGGGGAGTCATGTCCAGAGGGGAAGACAGCCTTGGTAGGGAAGTAATAATATTTGCTGAACACTATTAAAATGTATCCCCCCCCCAATTGCTGAAGAGTGGCTTCAAGCTTAATTGGACCCATGTGCTGACATCACTGAGAGGGTCCTTGCACAGTTGTTTGTCTGAGGCAAGTTTAGGAATTAATGCAAAGCTGAAAGTTGTGCACATGTACACACATACTCACAGCTTTCAGAGATTTCATTGGACGAAATCAACATATTGCCTTATTATTCAGAAACTTAGGACCTAACTATATTGTTACCCTTAGATCATTCTTCCTTTTCTATCATGCTGTCAACTCACTCTGGGCCTGTCCACACTGAGTATTATTTAGCTATTAATTCACACACCCCATTTGAATTAGCTTTGGGTTTGTCTGTGAGGAGCAACTTTGTGGACTTTTCCATTGCAAAATTTCAAAACAATGGGAAAGGATTTCACAAAATGGTACATCGGAACACTTTGCTTTTAGAAGTAATGGGACAGGATGTGATCAAGGGCTCTCCAGTGAAATGCAACCATAATTTGCACTGTAATCAGGCAAGTAACAAATGTACTACCGGGGGGGGGGGGGGATGCTCCACATCTTTCTAGACAAACAGACAGAAAAGAAAGTGTGATTATATCTAACCTGCTTGGAAAATGTGGTATCTCCACAACAGCAGCTCTAACAGCAGCTCTACCTGGTCAACAACTGTTTGGATTGTGCACTAAAAATGGGAAAGTACACTGACCTCACAAATGTTCTTACAGGAAGGGGCCTCATCAATATGGAGATGGTAGGCTGAGTATTAATAAGTTGTCGTCTGGTGTAGTTTGTTATTATCCTTCCTGTTAATTCTTCCCAGCTGCTGGGTTAGTGGAGCAATCCAGACAGAGTTTCCTTAATCAGCTGCATTACACCGTTTGTGCTGAATCAGGCCCTGGCAGATTGTGCAGCCAGTGAGTGGGGTAATCCCTGTTATGACAGGCCTCCTTCAAGAAGGGCACCACTGGGATTAAGATTTGCTGAGAAGCAGTATCCAAAGACTGACCTCCTTTCCCAAGTACCCATCAGCTGGAGTTTTCTCAGTTCAAAGCTAAAGCTATAAGATAATCGCAAGCATCTAAAGATACATTAATTTACACCAATAAATCAATAACTGCATTGGAATTCTGATTGAAAGCGAGGAGTCTGTTGTAAACTAGGAGTCCTCTCATAACCTCTATTTTCTATTGAACTCGGGTTCTCCTTGAGGCTGCTTCGCATGGTTAAAAGAGCAGCAAAAAAGCAGGTGTGTGTGTGTGTGTGTGTGTGTGTGTGTGTGTGTGTGAACTATTCCCACTTCAATTTGTTGCTTCTCATAATGTGCAACAAGAGAGGTAGATCCCTCCAAGGCTGCTCATGGGTTAAAGATTCCCACTGCATTTTTATTCCATTTGCAAAATGTGGGAGCTGAAGCTGCAAAATCCTGGGAGTTTTTTTACACACAAAATTTCAGAGCTCCTCATCAGGCAATGGCAGCTTCCCTGTTGAAAATGATAAACTAGTGCCCATGACGGTAAGTCACCACAACCATTTTTTGCCCCCCACCCTTAACTTCTTACCTGGGATGTGCTTTGCCCAGCCAATGATCACAACCAGCTCTCTGTCTGCCAAATCACAGAGTGTGGTCAGAGCTTTTATGTCGCTCTCCGGCATGGTAGGGTCAGGCATAGCATAAATCTTTTCCGGCTCTGCCACCAACAAGTGGGAGACGATCTTGGTCACTGCAAATTCCAAAGCAGAAATCAGTATGTGCATCTGACGAACCTATGCAAGTAGCTTAAAACTCCACTCTCTGAAATAAAGGTGAGATTATTTTTGCTTGGGAATGCCAGGTATGTAGGAAGCTGGCTCTTGTCTGATCATACTGTTTGTTCCTCTAGCCCAGTATTGCCTTCTCAGAGTTGTAAACAGCTCTCCAGAGACCATGGCGGAGGTCTTTCTCATCCCATGCTACCTGCTCCTTTTTAAACTGGAGGCCCCAGGGATGGAACCTGCAACCTTTTGCATTCAAGGCATGTGCCCTACCACTGAGCTACGATCAGTCCCTGATCCTATCATAGATATTTACATGTGTTAATTACTGATATACCTAAGCATCCTTTGCCAAGATATAAGTTTTCATTCTGAACACTCTGCATATTTCAACTGATAATTGTTTTACCATGTATTCTGGCTAATTAATACTGATAGGAAGCTCACATATGGACATTCTGGCTGGAATAAATAGGGAATCTTCTGACATGGGGGGAAATGTAGGGAAAACGGCTTAAGGAAACACCCCTGTGGAAATTAAAATAAACTACGGTCCATTTCTCACGTCTGCCTCAAATATTTCCCCAGCTTTCTATTGTAAACTACTTATTTTTGGAAAGTGAAATGGCTCTTAGTGTGTTTGAGTCCACTGGTACATTAATAGAGGGGACCTCATCCTGTTCTGACCACTCTCTAGAACAGGGTTCAGCAACCTTTTTCAGCTGTGGGCTGGTCCACCATCCCTCAGACCTTGTGGTGGGCCGGACTATATTTTGAAGGGGGGGAAAAATGAACGAATTCCTATGCCCCACAAATTACCCAGAGATGCATTTTAAATAAAAGCACACATTCTACTCATGTAAAAACATCAGGCAGGCCCCACAAATAACCAAGAAATGCATTTTAAATAAAAGGACACATTCCTGGACCGTCTGCAGGCCAGATTGAGAAGACGATTGGGCCGCATCCGGCCCCCAGGCCTTAGGTTGCCTACCCCTGCTCTAGAACATGCAGCTGATCACTGGTGCTGCAGGACCAGCACAGATGGTGCAGTCTGTGTGGCTTGGCTGAACTCTGACAGAAGGTACTCTTGGCAGGAAGGGTAATATATCTTTTCCAGGGATAGTTTCTCCACCTCAAACCAAAGTGCTAGTAGCTGGGCAGACATTAGAATAAGATCTATGAGCAATGAAGCAAGACCTTCCAGAAAACTAAGACCCTTTACCATTTTTGCTTAGGTGTGCACCAAAGATGTCTTAAATGTAAAGTATCAAAGCAAAAAGCACAGGTATCATACAGGTATAGGCACCAGGGAATCTGATAGGCTAAATCTCCCCCACTGAGTTCAGACTCAGTGGCAAGCTCAGGATTTCCTCTGCATAATAATAATAATAATAATAATAATAATAATAATAATTTATTATTTATAGCCCGCCCATCTGGCTGGGCTTCCCGAGCCACTCTGGGCGGCTTCCAACAAAATATTAAAATACAGTAATGCATCAAACATTAAAAGCTTCCCTGAACAGGGCTGCCTTCAGATGTCTTCTAAAAGTCTGGTAGTTGTTGTTCTCTTTGACATCTGGTGGGAGGGCGTTCCACAGGGCAGGCGCCAATACCGAGAAGGCCCTCTGCCTGGTTCCCTGTAACTTGACTTCTTGCAGTGAGGGAACCGCCAGAAGGCCCTCGGCGCTGGACCATGTGTGAAATGCCCCAGTAATAGATTCTACAATGCATGGAGCATAGAGATCTATGATGAACAGGTTGCCAGGCAGCTAGCAGGATCATGCAAAGCTGGAGAATCATCATGGTGAGATGGGTAGGCCACCAACTTCACCTGCAAGCTGATCTCTTGTAAATTTAGGGAAAGGCCAGGTGTTCCCTTAAACCATGTATCTGAACAATTGCCCTCGGTTTCAGTTTCAGAAAAGTTTCCGAGGACACTAACTCATGCGGCTCCCTAATTAAGACAGCTGAGAACTGGTTTCCTACAAGGAACACTCAGGGAGAGCAACACAGTCCCACAGCACTATGTTAGGGGAAAGGAAATGGAGGGCTTGCCCCAGGCAACAGAGTGTGATAGCGGCACTTACATGGCTTTTTGGCTGGAGGAGGAATCTGTAAGCTCAAATAAGTGCTGCTCTCGGAATCCAATCTCCTTTTGTACTTTTGACGGCCTCCACGAACTCGATCCAGACGGACCCCTGTAGGCGAAAGAGGAAGGAAATCTTAAGGCCTTTTTTTTTTTGGAGGAATCAGACATGTTTCCTTATTCTTAACAGGTATATTTGTATGCACATGCACTCCTGTTGATTCCTATGCATGTGGGCTGCAGTTCTAACTATGCATCCTAGGGAGTAAGCCTCACTGAGCCCAATGGGATTTACTTCTGAGTAGACGTGTTTAGGATTGCACTGCCAATTAAGAGAAAAACTGATAAGAGAAATTGACTGATGGAACAATCCCTCCTGGAAGTGGGGCAGATAGGATAGAACTTGAGGTGTCAATTTTGGTTTGTCTCAGTTTTTCAGTTTCCCATTCTTAAGTTCAGTTTTCCGCATTTCCACATGGGTTTTTTTAAAAAAACCACAAAAAATCCTCATGAAAATTCATCAGCATTCTAACACAAGTTTCTCCCAATTCACATCTTTCTGTATGCAATTTTACCTAATATACACATTCCTACAAATCACTCCCCCCCAATATAATGTATTTTTGTATGCTATCTTCAATAAACAGGTGCATTTATAGACACCCTTTATCCTGCTATGTGCATCTTTATACAGTTACTTGGCTGGGGAACGGTGTTGAAAATTCAGAGAAGTATGGATTTTGAAGGATGGCTGTGTTTCGGTTTGCGTATTGTTTCGGTAAGTACAAATTAGGTGGGTTTGCTTTAACAAAATCTAATTTCTTCCTCATCTGTAGCCACCAGCAATTGGCCTGATGTGAGTCTGTCGGCTGCGCCAACCTGGAAATGGCATGTGGGGGCAGGAGGAGACGTTATTTTCCAGTGCAACCTGTGGGACTCCAGACGTAGCAGTTGCTCCACTACTCTTTAAATCCTGCTGCCACCCACCAGGAATTTGGATTGCTCTGTGAAATATCTTTCTTAAAATATACACAGATATCCCTTCTCCCCCACCCAGTTGATGAAAAAAGGGACAAAAACAAACAATGCACTTTTAAACATCAGAGCTTCTTCCCTTTTCACCCTCCTATTAGCATCTCAACCCAGTGATGTAGAAATGTTTCTATAGTGTTTGTTAAATAATATCCAAGCAAATAGAATGACAGGCAAGACCCGGTTCCCAGGAAACCAACCTGACTAGCACTGAATAGCCCAACACTATACAGGCAGCCTGTCCTCATTAGTACAGTGGTACCTCGGGTTAAGTACTTAATTTGTTCTGGAGGTCTGTACTTAACCTGAAACTGTTCTTAACCTGAAGCACCACTTTAGCTAATGGGGCCTCCCACTGCTGTTGTGCCACTGGACCACGATTTCTGTTCTCATCCTGAAGCAAAGTTCTTAACCCGAAGCACTATTTCTGGGTTAGTGGAGTTTGTAACCTGAAGCGTATGTAACCTGAAGCGTATGTAACCTGAAGCGTATGTAACCCGAGGTACCACTGTACCTTTGGAATAACTGCACTCCCCAAGAATATTCTCCCAAATCATGCACTTAAGATCTCGGCCATGATCAAATGAGCTAATGGGTTACAGCAAAGTGTTGTTGTTGTTTATGCATATGAACACCACTTATCTGCAACTTTACCAGCACAATGAATTGGATGCTCATTTGCACACTCTAAACTGTTTTGAGGTGTGTGTGTGTTTGTGTTTACACTCTAGTGGTATATAAAATTTGGGAAACAAATAAATAAATTCATTCTAAAAACCTGTAGGGCTCTCACACCCTGGTCCTCAGGGTCAAAGAAGTGTGCAGACATTCACTCTCCCTTTGCACCCACTGAATCTATGTTATTTATTCCCTAACATTTATATACCATTTGATTATAAAAGAAAACAACCTCCCAGTGGTTTACAAATATGTGGGAAGGGGTTAAAGTGGGACTGAGTCCAGTGGCCATGCCCACCACTGCCACGTGTTTGACACTGGTGTGAAAGGGGCCTTATGCATTTTGCACTAATATTGAACCTTCAGTGCTAGGGGCATGGCTAGCTGATGCTCTGGCATTGGGGGGCATGGCCTGTATGCGTGGCCCTGCTTCTCCCCATATCTTCACTGGATGAGTGAGGTGGGAATACCTGTAGGGCAAGATGTACACTGGCATACACTGGAACGCCAGTGAAACTAATTTCCACTGCAAGTCCCAAGTGTGTAGTAACAGGGCATTTAGATATAGCAAAAGGGAAAAAGTGGGGAACCAGTGGAGGGAGTTATGCTATTTTTACTAAGAAAAATCATGCACATATAAGCCTGTTGTCCTCGGTGCTTGGCTAGGAAGGTGGCTGCACAGGTTGCAAAGGTATTAGGCACCCTCAATCAGATTAGAGAAACACAAAAGGACTTAAGTGCATTAAAAGAGATAAGCAAGAGAGAGGGAGAGAGGGAGATGCAAGGAGATTTACCCTCCATCCCTCTTTTCCTTGCTGAGTAGATATGTCTATTCATCCAAGGACATTAGCTCGTTAATTTCAAAGGAGAGACTCTGTTCTCCTCCTGTCCCTCCATCCTGTTTGACACTCCTTCAGGCAAGCACTTTAAATAAGGTCACAGTTGTTGTTTCATCCAAACAGTCATCATCATGGCCAGTGTTAAAGAGACAGTGTGTGCAGGCTAAACCTTCCCGCTCAGCTGTTGCTGTCGCTATGCAGAGAAATCACTAGGTGCTCTAGCAGCAAACCTCACCATTTTTTATTATTATTGTTGCTGTTGTTGTTGTTGTTGAATTAAAACCCCACCCATCTGGCTGGGTTTCCCCAGCCACTCTGGGTGGATAATAGCACATAAAACTGTAAAACATTTATATACTGAACCTACAGTGTAAAAGACACTGACGTGAGATCCCTGCTCCAAAGAGCTTACAATCTCTGCAGAAACGAAAGGCAATGCAATCCAGAAGCTAGGAGGTAATATTTGGCAGGGTCCTGAGCTGTTTCATAAGTTGCTCTCAGAATAGTGAAAAGGAGAAACTTCTTTTGCTAACACATCTGAGAAAGGAACAAGAGAGAAACATGGGCCGTGCTAATTTTCTAGAAATGATGCAACCACATTGATTTGGGGATGAATGAGGTGCTGCTTGGTAGCCTGGGGAGGTGGAAGGCGACTGGGGCCAAAGCTCTGTGGCCTGCCCTCACCACTGAATGCAGGGCAGCTGCTCCTCTCCCCCCTGCTGTGTCCAGTGTGGCAATTTCCGAGGAGAAATGCCCCCCTGAAAGGCAGGGAAAGGGTCAGCCAAGGCCATAAGCCTCCAAAGGTGGTGTGAAGCAGCTTGTTTTCCTTCGCTACCAGACACTGGAGTGGTGCCACTGAACTCCTCTCTCTAGGCTCCTCTGCCCTAGGATTTTTGGCGGGAACAGGCTGCGGTGTCATCCTCACCCCCAGCTAAAGGAACCCAAAAGAAGAAGAAGAAGAAGAGGGGGAGTTTGGATTTGATATCCCACTTAATCACTACTCTAAGGAGTCTCAAAGCGGCTAACAATCTCCTTTCCCTTCCTCCCCCACAACAAACACTCTGTGAGGTGAGTGGGGCTGAGAGACTTCAGAGAAGTGTGACTAGCCCAAGGTCACCCAGCAGCTGCATGTGGAGGAGCGGAGACGCGAACCCGGTTCACCAGATTACGAGTCCACCACTCTTAACCACTACACCACGCTGGCTCCCCACCACACATTTTTTTTAAAAAAAATAAATGTGGTGATTGTGGAGGAGAGGAGAAAGGAACTGAAAGTGGGGGGAGCTAAAGGTGAAAAAATATGTTTTAAAAAGTTCTAACTTGGTCAGACTGCAGGAGCCTGACCTATCGACTCACAAGCAGAGCAAGAGGTTCTATGCTTTGCCTGTTTAGTCCTGTAGGAGGCGCCATTCCAATGGGGGGCAATACCACCTAACCTCATGTAAACAGGATGATCAATAGGATGCACCATGCTATCCTGTATAGCTTGGGGGCCTGGGAAACACTGAATGAGGACACCTGCAACCTGCAAAAATGAGTGGGCGCAAATGGCTTAATTTTTCCAAGCCTCAGAGCCCTATCTGCCCTTCAGAACCCCTTTGCCCCAAGAAAAACGCATTCAATGCATTTGCAAGAAAAAATGCATTTGCAAGAAAAATGCATTCAATGCTTCTATGAAAATGTAGGAGAGGCTGCATTCACAAGGCAGATGAAGAAAGCGCAGTTGGTGGGATTTGCATCCATAAAGAGGAAATGGTAGGGATGGGGGTGACGAAAACAAAACAAAAAAAATCAGTTCTGAGGCTTGAACAGAAATGGAAGTAGGATGGATATGCTGAGATTTGCAAGATCCATGAGGATATCAATCACAAATTAAGTTACAGTAATTATTCTGCATTTCACGCCAGCTACTTGAGTCTGAGGTTTGACAGCAGTGCAGTGACAGCACTAAATGAAAGTGCCCTATAGAAGGCAGACAAAGACGACGAGGGAAAACACAGCACATGTGAGTCATACCGTCCAAATCAGTCTAGTTAAAGTTCCTTAACAACACAGTCAGGTCACCTGCAGGTGCAGAAGGTCCGCTGCTGTCTGAGATGGGGAGTTGTGAGTAGAAGTTAAAAGGTCTGTAGTGCGGCTTGGTTGCTTCACTAGACTGAGAAGCAACCCCCTCATTGCACCACGAAGCAGTTCCAGTTTTGGCTTAGGACTGCTTATTTGGGGGAGTGGAGTTACCTAACATACCAAGTTGTCTTACCCTGTTCCAATTCGCTTACTTGCCAATTTAAAACAAAACAAAAACCCAACTACTCAGTAGTCATTTCTGTGAAGCACTACATGGGCATGCATTAAAAGAATACAGGCAGAGAATGAAATGCTAGACTTTCCTCTGGGAAAGAACAGCGTGTGTGACTCTGTGTCTGTGTTGTGTGAAGCAATAGTGAGTATAGAGCTGAGGCAAAATTTCTCATAAGAGCTTTTCCAGAAAAAAACTTCTCAACATTTTCTTTTCTGGTCTCTTTCCCAAAGAGGGCCATATTGCTGAATATTCTCCACCATTTATGTGCTGGGTTACCATCTGCCTGCAACCGCGTGACTGAACAACACTAGGTTTGGGACGTTGTGCGGGATGCAAAATGGCTGCTGGACAGTCAGCAGTTTTGAACTGCTGGTGACATTTTTGTAGGGCAAATATGTCCCCCCCCCAATGTAAAGGTAAAGGGACCCCTGACCATTAGGTCCAGTCACGGACAACTCTGGGGTTGCACCGCTCATCTCGCTTTATTGGCCGAGGGAGCCTCCGGGTACAGCCTCCGGGTCATGTGGCCAGCGTGACTAAGCCGCTTCTGGTGAACCAGAGCAGCGCACGGAAATGCCGTTTACCTTCCCGCCGCAGCGGTACCTATTTATCTACTTGCACTTTGACGTGCTTTCGAACTGCTAGGTTGGCAGGAGCAGGGACCGAGCAACGGGAGCTCACACCGTCGTGGGGATTCGAACCTCCGACCTTCGGATCAGCAAGCCCTAGGCTCTGTGGTTTAACCCACAGCGCCACCCGCATCCTTCCCCCCCCAATGTATCGTTACCCAAAGAATGGTTTTTGAAGGCAGGTGAACGTAATGTAGTGCAGTTTCCCAACCGGCTTGCTGACACTATGGGAAAAGCTGCTAAGAATTTTCCTTCTCCTTGTAGTGTTTTCACTTTATGCTTTCTTCCTATTAATTCTCTCTTCTGGAAAAAAAGACTTTTGATGCACTTCGCCGGTGTGGGGGGAGAGTCATGGTGGCTTCAGATTCAGCCTTACCTCCTGCCTTGAATAAACTGTCAGTTTTCTAATCATCCTGTTGGTGCCACTCATGTTCCAGAAGTCCTTCGAACAGAGCTGTGCCAGTACCAGCCCTCTGCAGTATGAGAGCCATTCTACTGATCTGTTTGCTCTCTCTGCCTTTCTCCAGCGCAAGCCTGCCAAGAGACATCTGTCCAACAAGTTTGAGATCAGATGTCCCCTCACTGACTTGATAACATCAGGCTTGGGAGGTTTTTTTCTTAATGGAAGGCAAATAATTCCAGCTTCGGAGCCCCCCTCCCCCCCCTACATGCTGGATGTAGGCCCAGTCTGTCGGAAGTAAAAATAGCCGAGTGTGCAGAGGAGGTAGCACAAGCAATCAAGTTTAGTTTCTTTTTTCTTACCCGGAGACTAAAAATACCTCTAAAAGCTCCATGAAGCAAAGCCCTAGACAGTGGGAAATGCAGCCCATTTGCTGTCATATTGAATTTGCAGGCTATGCATCCTTTTCCGTTGAGTCCCTATGGCAGAGTAGGTCTCCTGACTTTCCATTCTGTGTTTGATCCTTGGGGTAACACATACCCGTACGTCTGTCTGCATTTCTGCATCACCCCAACTGTTCGCAACTTATTGCATCTTACTGCATTACTCATCCCTGTGCTTTTTACAAGGATGTGTGTGGCTGCTTTGAAGATAGGAAGCCGAGTCCTGTTACATAGCAATGCCTGTTACTATAAAACACCCTGCTCTGTTTTTAATCTCTTGGTGCACATGTGGGCATGGGGGTATGTGTGCATGCCCACAGACATATACGCCCTCCCCCATAAACCTGAAAGTTTGCTGCTCACAATTTGCTACCTTACTCTTTCACACGGTATGGCCAACCCTGGTACATCCCCATTGCCAGGCTATTTCCTACTATTAAAATCCACACTGCTATGCAGAGCACCGTAAAAGCATTCACCAGAAGCAGCATTTTATTATCATAATAGCCAACAGAGAGAATGCACATGTGGGATATCAAATAAGTCCGAAGAATCATATCATTTCCAGGGTGCAAGACCACCTATTGTCTGGAAATGGCCTAACACAGGGAGTGGGAGCCTCGGGCCTGAGGGCCAAATTAGGGCCTCCAGGCCTCCCCATTTGGCCCCACAAGGCTGTTTTTCAAAAACCATGCCCATTTGCCCCACACCTGATGCATCAGAAAGCAGGATTGAACTCCCCATGCATCAGCTGATGAGTGAAGAGTTCAATCCTGCTTGGTCATTATCTCCCTCTACCCTCATGGGCTAACTTTGACACCTGGGTGGGGCCACCCACATGCCAATCATTAGACATCATTATGACATCAGCTGATTGACAGGTGAGTGGTCTGCTGGGGGGGGGGATTCCCCATCCCTGCCCTAAAAAAACCAGATCACTATAAGAGAGAGGATGCCGTGGAGCAAATCCTACATTAAGCATATGGGACTTTGGAAATGGTTTAATAGTGATCAAACTTGTTTTTAAAACTAGCACTGAATAGTATATTTCCAGCTCATATCAGTTTTGCATGTTCATTCATAAATCCAATTAATCTGCAAATGTTTTGTTTCTCTGTGTATACATTTCTAAACATTTCATCCCAAAATATGCATTTTTAATTTATATTGATACATTTTTTTTAGTCAATGGGTATATAGCAAAATTAGGAGACGTGCAATCTTCTAATGATAATTAGATAACTGTGACCAACACTTCAGTCTGGGAGGTGATGAGGCCAGTTTGCATCAGAATTCACAGAAACTTAATTCCTCAAGCATCTCTCCTGAAAACATATCAGCATTGTTACAAACACAAAAAAACACAAATTGTTTTTCAAAGCGCAATTGTCCTTCAGTGAGAGAACTTTCCTCCATGTGCCTTGTTCACCTGAAGTATGCAGAAAAGTGGTATTTCTGGCACGGGTAGAAGCAGAATACTCTATAAATACAAAGCCATTAAACCCCATGCAGCCGCAACCTGATCAGGGCCGCCTTTTAATTTCCTGACATGAGCTGGCCACTAACCCAATTACCCAGAATCCCCGGAGGAGTCCTCATCCTTCCCAGGAAGCACAAAGAGAAAGTGCAAGCATATTGCATGGATGTCAGCAGAGCTTTCACTGAAATCAAATATCTTTCAGAAAATGCACAGAATGGAAGGGGGGTTGGGGGAAGGGGGATCCCAGGGAACACTTGAGAAGCAGGGGGCACTTCTCGAACGGTTGTGCTCCACCGAAAGATACTTAAAGAGAAAGCAAGAGAGACAAAAATATAACCCGTTCAAATTAATTCTTTATTGTTTTAGCTAGCTGCTTGCATTACAGCAGTCAGTATAACAGAAGTGGGTTTAGAGTACTAGAGTGTGCTGTTTTCTGTTTAGATGCAGTGTAAGAGAAAGAAATTACACATTTTTTCCCTGACACTGGTTCTCTCTGCCCCTAAGAACGATGTCAATCAACATTTGATTATCTCCTTCTACAATAGAAAGTGTCCTTTCATACTGCATCACGGTGTGGTACGCTGGTTTGACATCAACTGATAGAAAGTGCCTACAGAGGGTGGTGAATACAGCACAAGTTATTATGGGCTGTCCCGTGAATCTGCTGGATGAAATAGAGGAAGAACATTGCCTCAGGAGAGTGAGGAAAATTCTCAGGGATGATTCGCACTTTCTTGATCTCCTGCCCTCAGGCAGAAGATATAGAAGCATGATTAGTCACACCAACAGGGTAAAGAACAGCTTCTATCCATGGGCTGTTAGGCTGCTGAATGAAAAGATAACAACATGGCAACTGACTTTCGAGTTTGATGGGTGTGCGTCAGTAAACGAGGGGAATTAAGACTAAGAGAGCTGAGTGGAGGGTGCTCGTGTAATCTGTATACAAGTTGTACAAGTGACAATACAGTATTTCAATTTCAATTCAAGAACTATATGGCATGCAGACGTTGAGCAGCTGAAGCAGATCTTAGCACGGAGGTGTGGTCAATGGGGAAGCATCTCCAAGGAAATTAAGCCTTTTGATGCAAGTGTTAAATCAGAGGGGCCCTGCAAGAGAATGTGTTACAGTGACAGACCCTCCAAGTGACCCTATTTTCCAGGGATAGTACCAGATTTACAGAAGCCGTCCCGGTTTCTGATTTGATCCTGGAATGTTCTGCTTTCCCTTAGGTCGGACGTCTGTATTTTCATTGGAAAAATGTCAGAGGGTGTGCAGTGAGCTGTGCTCACAATCTGATGGATGAAAGGAGGAAATTTCTTGGAGGCCGGAATGAAGGACCTCCTTTGCTGGAGGTATTTAAGCAGAGGCGGAACGGCCATCTATGAGGGATGCTGTAATTGCACCCTGCATGGTGCAGTGTTGGAACAGATGGCCGCTGAGGTCCCTTAAAACTCTAAAATCATATTGTTGGAGTAGGAGTGGAAGTCTATTGGAGGGTGGAATTCTGGGAAGGAGCAGCTGGGATTTGCTAGTTAAAGCAGTTAGCAGGTTTGCGATTAGAGTAGCAGGAAAATGGGGTTCTTAGTGTCATGGATGTTAGAGAAAAGTGGATTAGCTGTGATCATGGAAGTGGTTAATACATTATTTCTCTTAGTTTTGAATTATTTTTGTAAATTCTTGTTGCCTAAGCAGCTTGCCTTGTAATCTCGGGTTCATGATTGGATTGTTGTTGAGTTTTATCTTGTAGAAATATCAAGAGAGAGAAAGGAAATATATTCACTCTCAAATTAAGCTTAATACAGCTAACCTCTTCTCTTGGCCTTTTTAACCCTGTCCTCTTCTGCTAGCTTTTCCTCTTAGTTCGGTGTTTTCTAATCGGTTTCTGCTCACGTGGTTAGATTTTTGTTCCTCTCCATTTCCTATGCTTTATTCCTATCTCTGGGAGAGTAAAAAAACAGATTTTGAAAGGTGAAGAACCTGGTAACTTGTATTGTTAACACTGCTTGCTAACACAATGAGATAAACGTAATGGAAATATTATTCGAGTTTCTATGCAATTCAGGGTGGGGGGCAGGTTCACAGGAAAGGAACTCAAACATGACCTCAAGTCAAGTGTTTTGATGTGAAACGTAGCAGAAATATTGTTTAGGAAATTCTGAAATACAAATGAATCGGACTTCAGACAGGTCATTATTTAAGAGTAATGATCCAAGACGTTGTTTAAAATTAGAGATTATTGCTCATGATGAGTTTAAGGTGTACAGATATTAAAGCCAGTTCAAGGAAAATTTAAGGACACCTTAACCCCTTACATCATCCTGACTTTCTCTCTTCTGTTTTGATACATGTTCAGAAAGATGATTTGGATAAGACTTTTTAAAGAAAGGCTATACTGTACTCTTTAGAGTCTTTAGAAAGCTTTTGCTTATTACCACTATGTCACTACTGTTGTTTTGTACATTTAATAATTTATAGTTATTACAATTATTTATAGCTTGCCTTTTAGGATTTAAGTCATTATTTAAGCCATTTATAGACAGCTTTCTATCAACAGTTCTTGAAGCAGGATCCAAGTACATAAGTATACAATAAGCACAATCTCTACTACAATTAAAGAAAAAAAGAAAACCAAAGCAAACAGATATTGAGACTTTTAACAATAATTGTGTTGTCAATATCAAGACTTTTAATGATAATTGCATCAATATGAAATTATTAAATGTTTATGCATATATGTGTCCACCTAAACAGGAAAGAATAGTCAGGTTTTTTAAAAGCCCCTGGATCTACTTTCTCACAAGGCTATCAGCAACCTTAGCCTGAAAAAAACAAATGGGAAATTCCTTGAGAATTTTTTAATTTTTATTTTTTGCCATGCATTACTGTCACAGTGATTCCTCCTCTGCTGCCTCTTATTTCTTGTTTCTCAGAGGTCTTTGCATGCCTGCTCCCCTCCAGCCCTTCCCAAAGAAAGGCTTTTCCCTGGAGGGAAAATGACAACAGGATTCATTCTACTGATCGCACAGGCTAAACATAACCCGCCAATGTTTAGCTCTGTGTGTGTGCTAAGCTCTGCCCAGACCTGCTAACCCAAACCACCCGAGCTGCCTAATGCAGAGTAAATGGACAAAACAGCATTTTTCTGCACCAACGCTTTGTAAGGTCACAATCGCAAGAGAATGACCTCAGTGCATGATCAGAAACATGCAATTTGATCTAAGAAAGCCTCATTCAAAGAATTCACATTTGAAATGCGACCTTGCTTACTGTCATTTTCAGTCTCTCGTCTCCTTGCCCGCCCCCCAAATAGATAAAATACCGTTACTAGTCGAATTTGAAGAGCCAAACAACTCTATTGTGTTCCAACATGCAAGATTCCAACTTTCAGTACTTTTTGAAATATTTCCTACAGGGTGAGTTTCATATTTTAGAATTCTAAGAATATTATTATTATTCTTCTGCCCATCAAAATATCTCAGGGCAGTTTGCAAGAAAAAAAGAGAGCTATATATTTATTAAAATAACATTACAAAGTCTTCCCTTGACTTTACCAGTTCAGACTGTAGGAGGAGTTACCTCTCTAGTTATACCTATGCAGCACATCAAAGAGAAAGGTACTAGGCTATACCTGTTCCTGATGTACTGGTTTTTTCCATATTCAAGGAGGGCACTGTTGCTGCTTTTAACATGGGGGGGGGGGACATTCAAAAATATCAACCTCCACTTGGCAGTCTGAAATGCTGTCTACCAAATGATTTTGCTGGATGTGTAGCTCAGTTTTAAGATTTTCCGTTCCTAGTCTAGACTGATACTATCACCATGTATCAGATATATATGTATATAAAAAGGTAAAGGTACCCCCTGACCATTAGGTCCAGTTGCGGACAACTCTAGGGTTGTGCACTCATCTCGCTCTATAGGCAGAGGGAGCAGGCGTTTGTCCCTGGACAGCTTCTGGGTCATGTGGCCAGCATGACTAAGCCGCTTCTGGCGAACCAGAGCAGCGCACGGAAACACAGTTTACCTTCCTGCTGGAGTGGTACCTATTTATCTACTTGCACTTTGATGTGCTTTCAAACTGCTAGGTTGGCAGGAGCAGGGACCGAGCAACGGGAGCTCACCCCGTCGCAGGGATTTGAACCGCCAACCTTCTGATCTGTAAGCCCTAGGCTCTGTGGTTTAGACCACAGCGCCACCCGCGTCCCTATATATGTATATGTTGTTGTTTAGTCGTTTAGTCGTGTCCGACTCTTCGTGACCCCATGGACCAGAGCACGCCAGGCACTCCTGTCTTCCACTGCCTCCCGCAGTTTGGTCAGACTCATGCTGGTAGCTTCAAGAACACTGTCCAACCATCTCGTCCTCTGTCATCCCCTTCTCCTTGTGCCCTCCATCTTTCCCAGCGTCAGGGTCTTTTCCAGGGAGTCTTCTCTTCTCATGAGGTGGCCAAAGTATTGGAGCCTCAGCTTCACGATCTGTTCTTTGGCACTTCCCTTCTTTGGGATTGGGATGTAGACTGATCTTCTCCAATCCTCTGGCCACTGCTGAGTTTCTTTGTCCATGGAGTTTTCTTGGCAGGGATACTGGAGTGGCTTGCCGGTTCCTGCTCCAGGTGGATCACGTTTGGTCAAAACTCTCCACTATGACCTGTCCATCTTGGGTGGCCCTGCACGGCATAGCTCATAGCTTCTCTGAGTTATTCAAGCCCCTTCACCACGGCAAGGCAGTGATCCATGAAGGGGATATATGTATATATACGGTACCAATTAATTTCTAGGCAAAGGTATCTTTAAGACATAAAGACTAGCAAGGATGCCATTTATGTGGCCCTCGTCACTACATTGTCACTACATGCAATAGTGGGTGCTAGGGTGGGGCTATCTGACCTGGCAGATGTGTTACTGATGCTTTCTGGGGGGCAAGGCAGTGGGGAGGTCAGTACCATATGAATGTTCCAGTGGAGCCAATAGAGTGTTCCTGCTCACAGTCTCCTTGCCTTTCCCCTCTCCCTCCCAATAAGCAGCAGCGACTCCACCACCAGGCGGTCAGGTAAGTCCCGCCCCACAACTAGTTGACTATTTGTCAACCAATGCAGAACTAGAATTGTACAACTTAAGATGCCAAGGGCGAATGGAAGCAGCAGCTCCATAGTTGCATGTTGAGCTGCAGATCCCAACCTTTGACACCAAATGGATGCAACAGTGGCAAATCCTTGTAGGAATAAAGATGGTTAACAACAGGTAAGAAAGCTGGCATGTTAAACACGTGTGTACTGGGCTTATATATCAGGTTTGACATGGAAAGTTTCCCACACTGTGTTTTATCCACATGCTGTAGTGAGTTTCCACTCTGCAGTGTCATGAGGGAAGAAACTGAGATGGCCCGGCGCACATGCATTCCCTGAGTTGCACTGCATTGATTAGGGCTCTCTTAAGCAAAGTGGCCAGGATATCTGAGAAACCTATTGATTGCTCACTCTGCTCCCTTCCTGCCTCTGTTTCTCAATCGCTTTCTGCATTGCCATAACAAACCCCCAGTGCTGGGTACATCACAAGGATAGTCTTTCACAGTCTTTAAGGATTCATTTGGAGCCTTCCTCTCCACCTCCTCCCCCCGCCCCCCCGTCACCATAACCTGACAAAGACAGTCTCTATTTCTGGCAAATCTTGCCTTTTGGGTTTGTGCCCAAAAGGTCTTCTTAGGCTGCAGTCTGATCCCTGCTTACTGGGTTGGAAGACCCACTGAATTCAATAGGACTTAGTTCTGAGCAGACATGGTTAGGATTGCACCCCTAGTGTGTGAGCTCTATCACACAGCTCCTAACCAAAGTCCTACCTAAAGAGGATGAAGAAGGAAGCTTCTTGGGTGGGGAAAGGGACTGCATGGACTAGACTGCTGCTCACTTCTTCTTCCTTCCCCAAAGCCCTTGCAACTCATCTGAGGCTCAGGAGAGCGTACAGCCATTGTCAGATGGGCTTCAGACAGACAGCAAGGGTCTTTCAGCTTGTAACCAGCAACAGTCAACAAACTCTGCCAGTAAGTTTGAGGGAGAAGCAGATGTTTGCTGATGCCAAACAGAAGAGAAGCTAGAGGCAGATGCCTGGAAATATCCAACAAACTTGTTTAGAGACTTTCTGGAGTAATGTTGAGTCATGATTTCAGTAACTACTGGATTCGTTAGACATGCAAGCTCCAAATAAATCTAACTGAGCTATGATGGCAAAAATGACCTTACAGTAACTTCAAAAAAAGACAACTCCCAATTATATTATTTAGCTCTGGGCACTTCGGAGATGACATTGTGCTCAGCTGGACTCTATTTTTAGTCTGTGTGAAAATGCCCCAAAGAACAAAACACCAAACGGGGAATCTCGTTATCCCTTTGTTAAGTAGATCTGTGTTTTCACTGGGATTTTCACCAGAACTTTATAGTAAGTGACTGGTAATGGGTCACAAGAGAAAATCAAGATTTTAAAAACTAGAAAATAAGAAGAAAGCTATCTTCTATAACTGCCAGAATTGTTGTTACAGTCTGATGTGATCCTGACGTCTCTGGAGATGGCAAAAGCACATCGTATCTCTTTCAAAACAGCAAGCAGCGGAGAATTATTTAATGTGGTATTTGGAAGTGTTGGTGATAGGGGACAATATGACGAATGGGATCCCAGAAGGAGAAAAATATTACTTTGAATATCAAGGCTCTCTTCTGATCAGTATGAGGTACTTCTCAAGGGAAGCACTTGGAACTTGTAAGGTTGACCTGGATATAATACTAGAAAAATGTGCACTTGGGAACAATCCTGCCTTGACTGGGAGATTGAATGGATGATCTAAGAGAGCCAGAGGTAGGAAGAGCAATGAACCCTTCATAAACTAAAATCCCCAGCCAATTCTGCATCTCTGTGCTGAAAGTCAAACAATTTTGGATTTGTTCTTCCTAGAAAATTGCTGACTCCTTGGAGACTAAATACCACAAAACAATTTTTTCTTGCCTTTATTGGGCTTTTTAAAGCCATTGTATTGACTGGATTCCTTTTCTTCTGCAAATAATATTACTGCAGATAATAATAGTAATAACAATGCTACAATGATTGTTGCTAGTAGTTGCAGACTTTATAGCAGTAACAATAGTTCATGGCTACCTGCATACAGATGTATATTATCATAGGATGGAAGTATAAATGATCATGACAAGCAACAGCAATCCAAGGTCCTGGCAACAGGCATGTCCGGAATCACTACTATTAATGGTTGCACATATAATATGATTACATGTTCAATTAAAGCAGTGTGCCTTTGGAGCAGTGTAATCTAAACTTCAGTGCTGCAAAGCCCATATGAGATAAAGCACTGGACCCTAAGTGGATGCTGGAATGAATGTGGTTTGAAGCTGTAAAGGAAAAGAGCAAATCAGAGTAAGTAAAATGGAAGAATCCAAGGGACTGAGAGAGAGTTCATCTTTCCTGGCTTCCGAGGGACAACACATCGCTAGGTCACTCCACCACCTTCAAAGCAGGCTAATTCTCGCTCTGAATCTATCACCATCCTAATCTAAAAGCAAGGTCACGAAGGGTCACAGGCCTGAGCTCACCAATGTCAGGAGAGCTCCAGTCGAGAGAGAGTGAGCGAGAGGCAGAAATTTAACCTCAGATAAGATCTGTCAATCAAAGGGCAAAACAGGGTTTAAATCTACATTACTAACAGCACTAGCTTTTTATCACTCTTGCAACACCTCAGAGGAAAGCACTATGGCTTCCAATTCATCTCTGGCTTCCACAGATGGCAGCCTGCCTGCTTTGGCTGAAATGTGCTGGGCTGGAGCACTCTCCAGTGCTGATATCCTTTCCGTGTGGGTTAGGCTGTGAGGCAGCTGTGCTTTTCCAAGTACATCGATGCAGAGAGTTACAAGTGCTACATTTCCTCCCTGTCCCCCCCCCCCATCCTTCCATTCTGGAGGGAGCCCAGGGAAATGAAGCTTTGAAGCCAATCCATAAGAATGTGTTTAATTGCCATTGAATTCCCAGTGGCGCACCTTGAATGGATGGATGGAGGGGGAGGGAGGAGAGGAGCACAAGGGGATGAGCCAAGCACTGTTCAGACAACACTGAGCAGATCAATAGGTGGGGTGAGATGGTGGGCTGAGCACTGCAGGGCAAAGGAGACCACCTGCACGGGGACAAAGGCCTCTCTCCAGCCAGGGATGTTTATCTCCTGTCAGAACAAATGGGCTATGATCAAACTTCCTTCCCAGTCGTGCCTGGGGATGGGTGGGTGGGTGTGAATTTGATTCAGTTTGCACTGGAAGGCAAACCAGCATAACACACACTTTCTGAAACAATACGAGAACCGAAACACAACCACATTTCAAAATTCACACTTCTCCAGGTTTTGTAACGCAGTTCTTCAGTCAAGTAATGTGTACCAAAAGGCATGTAACGGAGTTTGTGTGTGCATAAAAATGCATGTCTTAGAGCGGGTGGAGACATACAAAAATGCATTCTATGAGGGGGAAATGCTTTGCGAAAATGTTTATAGTAGGTGAGATTTGCATTACAAGGCAAATAAGTTTTCACAAGGACTAAAAATAAAATCCTACCAACTGATATGGGACTGAAATGGACAGGTTTACTCAACCCTTCTCATTCTAACCCCACATTCTTCTGCAAACACCCTAATGTTCAGTGCACAGTTCTGTTTTTACATGTATGGAATCTTATAGCTTGTAGCATGCCACTTCTGTAAATGTTTCTTATAAAATAAATGTGTACAAATAAATGGGGAATGAAAGGAATGAACCTTCAGCCATTTTTAAGTGCCTATAAAGAAAGAGAAAGGGAATGCCACTGCTCAGATGACTCCCCCCCCTTTTTTAAAAAAAGGAAAAGGCATTTTTCACGCGTGGAAAATAAGTGCAACCCCTCTGAGGCAGGTTTCCAATGGAACAAAATATCAATACAAACAGCACAATAGACTAAAAAAGACAACAGCATATTGCGTTGGGAGCCATGGCACCATCTGCACATATCCATCAGTGTTGGAGTCCTACATTCTCGCCCAAATGTCATCTTCTAAGTCCCTTCTCTGGGTACCTCCACATTCTGAGATTAGGCAGGCCACAGAGAAATATTGCAATTTTTTCAGGTGTAGTACCCAAACTGTGGAATGTGCTCCTCAGATTGGACTGGGGAATCTTAAGTTTTTCCAGTGCTGGGCAAATACCCTTTTATTTGCCAAAGCACCTCAAAACACATTTCCATTTTTTGTGGAAGCTGACCTAGGAGGTCTGAAATTGAAGGTTGGGAGAACAACTCTTTGAAACAAACGAGCAAAACATGCATAACTGCAGTTAAGCACATATGCATTCTTCACACCTGACTGTGGTGTGTTAGGTTTCGATTTGCCTGCTTTTAACTTTTTCAGTCAGGTCAGGAACAGAATTTCACTTTAACACAACCGGCATGTCATTGTGTTCTTCCCCTTGGTCACTCAGAATTCGAACCAACTCTAGCTGCTTCCTCCTTCACATCAAAAGCATAATCTGGCCTCAGTCAGAGAGAGGTGAGGGTTTTTTAGGTGTTGGCAAACCGACAGAAGTCATGCGCCCGGCTCGCCTTACCTTCTTTCAGCATCCCTACTTTGAGGCATTTCATGAAGCGACACGCCTGGCAGGATTTGCGCCTCCGTTTTGTGATTTCACACTCATTGGTCGCCGGGCAGCTGTATTCAATGTTCCCTGCAAAGACAAAGAGGGGATCACTAAGGACTAGCACCAAATAGAAGAGAAGATGACTGCAGGGTATTATGCCCTCAGAAGTGTTGCTCAAACAACAACAAAAGGAATCGCTGCTTTGACCAGTGCCATTGTTACATGAGCCCTTCTACAAATTGGGCAGGTGTATCAGTTTTGATTTCTCACTTGTTTCTCATTTTTCCAGTCCTAAATTTAATTCTCTGCATTGCCACATCAGTTTGCAGGTTTTTCTTATGAAAAGGGAAAGTCCCCATGAAGATTCTTCAGCATTTTAGTATGAATGTCCTCTAATCATTTCTAAAATGCATATGTTTGTATGCACTTTTGTCTAATATGCACATTTCTGCAAAGCAATTTCATACATTCTCGCATGCCATTTTCACTAACGTGCATTTTTATGCATGCATTTTATCCCAGTATGTGTGTGTTTGTACACATTACTTGGCCGGAGAACTGGATTGTAAAATTCAAAGAAGTGCAAATTTGAAGGATGGCTGTTTTTCGGTTCTCGTATTTTTTCAGGAAATGCAAATTAGGTAGTACATGAAAACTGAATCAAATTTCTTTCCCACCCCTAGTTCCTGCAAATAAGGCTTACAATCTACATTTAAAAAATGAAGGGAGGTGGTCAGAAGTTTATAAATTCATGAATAGTGAGGGTGAGGTGGCAGAGGAAGAACAGTGAAGATGAAGATTCTAGAAAAGATTTCTTGCAGATACAGTTCTGACATTACCCTTTCACATATATGCAGAAACACACACACACACACACACACACACACACACACATGGCATGTCTTTTCAAAGTACTTTGAGAAGAGAAACCTTATCAGTGGATATGGTCTTGAACCCAAGTTTATTTATGCATATAGGGAGGAAATGTACTGAGATGACCTTAAACAAGTCACCATCCTGCAGTCTCTTAACTTTGGATAATCTTTCGTACATCATCCGTACTGGAACGAATGAAGCTGGGTTGAGATATGACTTGGAGCATAGGGCTGCTATTAAAAGCAACTGCACCCTGCCATTCAGTTTTTGGCAAAAATGTGGTGCAACATCACATAGTTCCCCATCCCTTGCGCCAGATCATTGGCTGATTCTGGAGAATGCAGGAAAGCATATGGCATGATGATATAATGTCAGGCATTTCCTTAATGACATACAAGGAGAGGAGGAAAAACTTCAACATGGGTTGCCATTTTTGGCAGCAGCCCCATTACAGGCATAGCTTCTGGTTCTGAAATGAGCTAAGGACTGAAAATCACATTGAAATTGCTACTTACTTGATTTTTAAAAGAATAATTATCACGCTGCCAAAACAGCAGGATGAACTAGTTAACTCCTGGGGCTTATTAAGGAACACTGTAACCCCCAACGATGCTGACTCTGAGCCTGCCTGCCTTACAAAAGGGTTTCACCTTCAGAGTATTATCTTTTAAGACCCACATCCTGACAGTCAACACCAACGTGAGGCAGTTTCATTTCTCTGATGCCCTTCTGCATGCTCACACAGCCCTGCCACCACATGGTTAGATTCAGGAGCTCGGAGTGCAGTACCAGCTGCTTCCATTCAGTCTATACCGTGGCACTGCACAGCGCCTGAATTTCAATAGCCAAGGAAGTATCAAATATCTCTAAAAGCTGGAAATTGAAATTCAAGCTTGATCTCTAGTTAACAAATGAACTGCAGTAGCAAGGCAGGTACCGCCAGCCAGCCACAGAATCCCTGCTTTTCTGCAGTGCCTCCCCTCACCCAAACACACACACACACACACACACACACGAATCAAAGAATTATAAAATCATAGAATTGCAGAGTTGGAAGGGACTTGGAAAGAACAGTAGGTTTGTCTGTTTTGCATTCCTTTATTTAAATCACCTGTTTCTCCCTTTCAAATGCAAGGCTACAATTCCTTCAGAGCAAACCTACAGTTTTATCCATCTTCAGGTAACAAAGAATTAATTAAATAAATAAATCTGGTGTCAAGAATCAGCCAGCAATGTTGCTTTGTGACCTGCACATCCTTTTATCAAACTTTGTACCAAGTCACAAACAAAAAACTGTTCCGGTGCATTCATGTTGTCCCTGACTAAAAGGGAGGAACTATGAAAGTATCGCCGATAAACCTTAATGCCATCAGATCACATTGTGTCTGGTAGTAAGAGCAATGTGCTGCAATGAATAGGAGCAGATAGGCTTAAGCAGCAAAACCCCTCTTTCTCTCTTCTTTAGAGAAAAGCACAGGTAAAAGAAGGTAGCAGTCAACCTCATTCAAGATAAGCAACTCTCTTCAAAATTTAGTAAAGTTCTCTGCTGCTGCTGCTGCTGCTGCTGTTGTTGTTGTTGTTGTTTTATTCCTCCCCACCCCCACCTCCCACAACTTTCCCAATTTCTTTTATGGGTCCTGAGGCTGCCTGCCAACAGGACAGAACCACTCACGCTGCCTTGCAATTTCTGTAAGTGCCCTGTGATAAAGTGATGAGATTAACTCATTGGGATTCCAACAGCCTTCCCACCGGCTGGCAGTCACGCTGCCACTTCAGTCACTGTGGACTTGGGGCGATCTGGCAGCCGAAAGAGTTCCAGGGTGTCTTCAGAAGCCAGAGGAGGAACCTGCGCACGCCAATGAGCAGCAGCAGAAGATGCACACATGCATGCATGCTCACACATGTGTGCGAGAGTATGCTTTGAGCGTGTCACTCATCCTATTTGCATGGACAGGTGGAGTCCTCAGATCCCGAGCGGTCCCCCCCGTCATGTGGAATAACGACTCAAGACAACGTGCTATGGGATTAAATTGGTCACAACTTTATTAAATTTCAAATGTGGGTAGACCTTGGCTCAGGCATTGGGCGTTCTCCCTCCCCATTCCCCAGCCAGGGACCTAGGGAGCATCAGGGTTATCCAGTGTGTGGGGGGGGATGGGCCGGCTCTGGAGAACATATGTTCAAGCAGAGATAGCCGCCCCTGTTACGCCGCCGCCACAGGGGAGAGCAATGACGACCTTTCGGCGTATGGTCAAAGCCTCCCTTCAGAAACCCCTTTAACAGGGAACCCTGGTATCGCCGCCACAAAGAGGAAGATGGACTAAAGGATTCCGCCCAAGGCCTGATACCGCCAAAGTTGTGACGTTTTGCTACGGGAAAGGCGAAACCTGCCAATGCAGGGAAATTCCTTTCCGGCCCTTTAACAGCTACCTTAACGTAGCAGCGCCCGCATACCTGTGAATAAAAGTTAACCTACAAAATCTGTGAAGAAAAGTTAACCTGCAAAATAAGACATTACAGTGGTGCCTCGCAAGACGAAATTAATCCGTTCCGCGAGTCTCTTCGTCTTGCGGTTTTTTCGTCTTGCGAAGCCCGGCTATTAGCGGCTTAGTGGCTTAGCGGCTATTAACGGCTTAGCGGCTTAGCAGCTTTAAGAAAAAGGAAACAAACTTGCAAGAACTCGCAAGACGTTTCGTCTTGCGAAGCAAGCCCATAGGGAAATTTGTCTTGCGGAATGACTCAAAAAACGGAAAACTCTTTCGTCTTGCGCGTTTTTCGTCTTGCGAGGCATTCGTCTTGTGAGGTACCACTGTAACTGAGGGTGGGTAGGGTGGGAGAAGCTCTGGAGCCAAGTGAGGATTCCCAGGTAAGATCCTCCCTCTGTTGTGTGGGCAGGTAATCCCTCCCCTACCTGGCCTGGTCTCCTTGGCAACGCTTCCCCCAGGTAGGATTGGACAACTGACTGAGGTAGGCAGAGACCTCCAGGTATCCCACCTGAGGGAAGGCAAAGCCAAGCCTATGCTGATGGAGCCGCTCCAGATCTAGGGGCTGCGCGCGTCCACGCAAAGGGCGCCCCCTGTTTTAAGCGGGGAGCAGTCATTGACCATGCATAATTGAGGGAAATGACTTCAAACAGTGGGCTAGCTAGGAGATCCAGGGCTTGAACTGGGACATAATCTTGAAAGCAACCCAGGACTTTGTGTGCTTAGATCTCAGAGCCCTCTTTGGTCCAGAAAAGAACAGAGATATGCAACATCAGCAGCTTGGGGGTTGACAGACAGCATGCGGCCCCTGGATTGGCCAGGGTTGCTATAAATATTGAGAGTTCAACCTTTTATCCTTTCCCTGTGAACAAGAGCAGAAACTGCATCCTGCTATTTTCTAGCTCCCATTCCCAGAATTCAGGAGGAGAGGATTGGGGATAGTATCAGCATCCTCAGACAGATGCCAGGACACCTGCATCTCAGCAGAACCTACTGCTGATGCCCACTCTGTCCCATCTGCACCATCCATATGGGAGGTGCCTGCCATTTAAAATTACCCCTAATTTGCATTGCTCTGTGGTATTGTGGAAAACATTGTTTATTATTATTCTGCATTGCCTTTGTTCTGACTGTAAGCCATATTGTAGCAGTCAGAAAGATGGAGTGTAAATTAGGAGCGCGCATCAGTTCAAGGTGGGTCGCAAATAAGAAGGCGAGTTGGAATCCATACAGGCACACACTCAAGTTGGATCAGCAACAACCCCCCCCAATGTCTTGTGCCACTCTGTAATTTCTGTACCTCCTGTGTTTCTATGTTTCTTTAAGGCATTGGGCTTTGCAAGAAGTGAGGCTGTACAAAATGCCTGCCAAGCACCCAGCAGCTCTGGATTTTGTTGTAGTTGTTAAAGCACAGAAGCAGGCCATTTTTAAAACAAGATGAAAGCTTCATTTAAGGTTGTTGTGTGTGTGGCTTTTTTAAAAAAATAAAACCCTACATTGCGCTGTTTTAACAAAACAAAACAAAACAAAAAAAGAGCTCTTTGGAACTCTCCAGACAACATTTTGGACAGCCTCACATTGTAAGGTCTACTGGAAGAAACAAACAAGGAATAGGATGGAAAGGAAAGGGAAAGGGAAAGGGAAACAGAAAAGGAAAAGGAAAAGGAAAAGGAAAAGGAAAAGGAAAAGGAAAAGAAAGGCTGGTGTGAAGCTACAAATTGGGGGTTTTTTTTAGCATACTACAAGCAAGACACACCACTCATTCGCCTCTTAATTATCATATGACTTGGAAGAACATGAGACAAGTCTCCAGTCTGATGCCCCCCTGCCTCCTGGGAAACATAAAGAAAAGTGAGTCCCTTTACTTCCTCCTCAGAAAGCCACTACACCTTTTCATCCGGAATTTGGCAAACTTAACCCACTCCGGAGGGTCTCCCAGGCTTGTAAATTCCATCCATTTTGGCCAAAAGGGGAAAAAATGTATAGTCCATTTTTGGATTTCCCATTCTGCTGAATGGAGAACACAGAGCCTCATTTTACACAGAATGGATTGGAACCCAAATTACAGAATCAATGTGAAGAGAGCAAAGAACAACCCAGAAACAGATGGATTTTGTTTTAATGCACAAACGCAGATGCAAGGTGAAGCTTGGGGCCTATTTTCACCCCCAAATGTGAGAAAATAAAATAAATGAAATGAAAGATGGTCCATTCCCCATAATTCTGTAGAGAGAAGCTACACTGGGGGCTTTGTAATTAACTAAAATAGAATTACTCTGTCCCACAACCACTCAGCACAGAGCACTGCGCTGCAGTCACTTTCAGAGCGGTCCACCAGAAAGCCCTTCTCTGGAAGAGGGGGAGGCTCAAACTTATTCTCTTTCTGGAGAACATATACATCAGGTCCAACTTTGGAATAGCTACCCCTGCCCCCCACGCCACCCCAACAGAAACCTACAAGGAGCATTCTGTTCCATTTTACATCCTCTAATTCAAAAGTCCTCTTTCTGTCAGGACTGAACAGCACTTGGCTGCTGCTGCAGAAGCACACGGCTATTTTTGATGTACGTTCAACAACTGTTACAGTGAAGTGACTGCCAGCTATTGTTAGGAGGCATTTCCTGGTTCTGTAGCATCGGCTGATGAATAATATTACCATAACTCTGTATTAATGCATCTTCTGTCATTCGCCCCCCGACACACACATTTTGAAGTGGTAATAGGTGCTAAGGGATATACAGACTGAATATAAATGAGAACCTTGAGGGTGTCCAATGATCCTATCTCACAGGATTGCTAACATGTTAACAGCTGAAAGCCATGGAAATCGACAGTGGCCCTTCTTTGTAAAGTTGCCGAGCATGACTTCACTGTCACAAGCAAAAATAAGGGTCAACCCATAATAACAATCAAACATGACAAGCATGAGGATGCACTTACTTTAAATGAACAAGGCCCTGGAAGTCTCAGGGTTGAAAGAAGATGTGACACAGGAGACTTGTGTTCGAATCTTCCCCAACCCCTTTAAAGCAGCCATTGGAGGCTCCAGTTTTGATCAGAGCAGTGGCAGGAGGGCAGGGCAGCGCTGATATATTTTTATTGTATAGCAGTATACAAATATTTTTATAAATAAATAAATTCAGTGCTTGTCACGGAATCATAGAATTGTAGAGTTGGAAGACTCTAGGGTCATCTAGAATCATCTAGTCCAACCCCCTGCAATGCTGGAATTTCAAATATATCATCCATGACAGATGGCCATCCAACCTCTGCTTAAAAACCTCCAACGAAAGAGAGTCCACCACCTTTCTGAGGGAATCCTTTCCACTCTCAAACAGCTGTTACAGTCAGAAAGTTCTTCCTGATGTTTAGTCAGAATCTCCTTTCCCATCACTTGAAGCCATTGGTCTGGGTCCTACCCTCCACAGCAGGAGAAAACAAGCTTGCTCCATCTCGCATGTGACAGCCCTTTAGATATATGCAGGTGGCTATCATTTCTCCTCTCTGTCTCCTCTTATCTGGGCTAAACACACCCAGCTCACTCAACCGTTCCTCACAGGGCTTGATTTCCAGACCCGTTCCAGCTTATCAATATCCTTCTTAAACTGTGGTGCCCAGAACTGGATACAGTACACAAGGTGTGGTCTGACCAAGGCGGAATAAAGTGGGACTATTACTTCCCTTAATCAGGACACTATACTTCTGTTGATGCAGCCTAGAAGATCCTTTTCACATGTACACTGCTTGCTACTGACCCAAATGGTAAGGATTGCAAAGTGTTTCATTTTTCACTTGGGTACCCTGCAGCCTGACTCCACATTCACCAAGAGTCTCAACTCTCAGCTCTCACTCGTTTCTAAAAACATAACACGCCCCAAATCTTATTTCAGTTATTGGGAAATATACAACAGCTTCTACTTGCAAACCAAAGAACCCATTTTGTCAGATTGCTTGCATCCCTTCTCCCAGGCCCCATACCTTGAATTGTCCTCTTGAAGAAGGCTTTGCATGCTTCACAGGACGCCACTCCATAATGGTACCCGGATGCAATGTCCCCGCACACTAGGCACAGCCTCTTGGGGATGGCGTTCAGCATATACTCGCACTTGGTGGGCGAGTCTTCCATGATGGCACTGGCGCAGTCGTCGTACCGTTTGCGGCAGGGCCCTCCGCCAATCCCCGCACTGCTGAACATGGGTGGTGAATCCAGGCCATTGGGGTGGCCACCTATAGTGATGCCATAGCCACCGCTGGCGTCAGATGAACCACTTGGGCTGTGGTGGCTGATGGCGTCGATGCCGGAAGATGGGCTGGATGGCTCAGTCTTGATGAAGGATCCACAACTGGAGGTGAGGTGCCGCTCATCTGTGGACATTCTGCCTAACAGCCTGTGGGTAGGAAGCACAGGAACCTATTAGCTGATGGGGGGGGGACACACATGGAACTGGAACAGAATCTGCTTCAACATTTGATTGTTAAAAAGTACTTTTCCAAAAGAAACCAGAGTCCTTTTTGTTGGGGATAATTCAGACTGAAATTCCCAGGTGTCAAAAAAGGTTGTTTATGTATGCCACTACTGCGGCCCGTGTTTCGTTAGCCCAAAAATGAAAAACGAGCGAGTTCCCAACTAAAGAAGAATGGCAATTTAAGCTGATGAAATATGTGCAGCTTGCAGACTTAACATAAAGAATAAGCGAAGAAGAAGAACGTACGTTTAGAGAAGATTGGAAAACGTTTATTGAATATATGGGAAATAATTGTGCACAGCTAAAAACGCTGGCAGTATTAAGATAAATTCAACAGTGTAAATAAGTTTTGATGGATCCAATAATGGAATGCTGAATGGTATAGTTTTTGTAAAATATGCAGGGATTCATGATATGTAAAATCAGCTATGGAAAGAGAAGAAGGGAAGTCATTGTTATCTTAAGGATGTAAAAATGAGTATTTTAAATTGTAAAACAGAAATATGTGTGTGTGTGTGTGTGTGAGAGAGAGAGAGAGAGAGAGAGAGAGAGAGAGAGAGAATCTATTTCAACATTTGAAACCATGCATTGAAATATAGTGTGTTTAACATTTACTCATTTATACATACATTCACCACTACCATGATGGTTATGCTAGGTAACTTGGTTTTATTTCTTCAAAAAATATCCAAAAAACAGATGTGTGGGGTGGGGTGAGGACTTTTTTCTTGTAGCTGAAGCCACAGAGCCTATCAGAAGCTTTCAGAATCTGCCTTGGGACAAACTTCTTGTCATTTTAATTTATAATTTTAATTCAGTAGGATGCCTCCTTAGTAGCTTAATCAAATTCAGAAACATGAGAACCTTTTCTGAGTCACCCCGGTTTACTTCACAATTCACAGTGCACACAGAGCTGATGAACACCACTAGTACATATATTTCAACCAAACTGGGTATTGTTGGGTACTTCCATCATTACCCATTTCCCACAGTATACCTGTGCATATATTATAATTATTATTAATTGGTTTAGATGCAACTAACTTATCTCGCTAGTGGACGGCCACGCAAGGCAATTCCCCACTCCTCCTCCAAATGCCCTCTTGTCCCCCAAATAGGCTGGGGGGTGTTGGGGAAAAAATCCCAGAATAATATGATGGGGGGAGACTGTTCCATCAGGCAAGCAGACATGCTTCAGTGATGGAGCAATCCCCTTAGTGTTACATTGAATTGCACCCATTAAATTCCTATCCTGCCCTTCCTCCCAGGGTGATGTACCTGGAAGTGGTTGGATGAACCAAATGTTCTGTTGACATCAGAATGGAAATTTTGATGATTGCCATGATTAATGTTTAGGAGTCTCAAAACCAGATACATGAACAGTTGTAGTGACAGACATTGGGCATGCGGAAAACTTTGCTGGAACTGGAAAAATGCTGTAAAAAATTAGAATTTTTTCTATAGAAGCCACTGGTCTGACATTTAAAAAAAAAATTCGTATCTTCAGATTATAGTGATCCTTCTAGCTAATTGTGAATCTTCCTTGTGAGGAATTATTAAAGCATTTGGGGCCTTTTTTATTTAGAAAAAAGAGGGACATTAAAGAAGTTTCTAAAATTAAGAAGGGTGCAGAGAGAGTGAATAGAGCAAAACCCTCGTATAGCCCCAGAACCACCAAAATTAATTCACCATATGAAAACGATTAGTAGTGGATTCAGGACAGACCAAAAAAAAAGTGATTCTTTACACAATGCATAATTAACATATAAAATGCATTGCAACACAATGTGACGGTCACTTGCTCAGATTGCTTTATCAATGTTTGTGTTGATAGTTAAATAAAACCTCCATATTCCAAAGCAGCATGCTTTAAAATAAAGATGAGGACAAACAAGGGAGAGCTGTTGCCTGCATGCCTAGCTTGCCAGCTTTCTAGACGCGTGAGATTCGCCAATCTAGATGACACTTGGCCTAATCTGCTGAAGGTTTTCTCATGCTCTTAGGTTGTTTCTTTGAGGTTTCAACTGCATTATTCACCATCTATCCAATAAAATTTCCACAGTTGTTGTTTTTTGAATGCCATTACATATTTGTTCTTCTGTTGACCCAATTCAGAATTATTGCAAGTATTCAAAAGACACCTGAAATCTAAAACAGCAAAGTCTTGTGGACATTATACAAGGGCAAAGTTTTCCTATTTGTCTTAGGATACATCCACCATGAGGAAACATTTTACTTGGCTCTAGCTGAGGAATGTGAAAGGGGAAGAGATTTGATCCAATTCTCCTGTGACCTGGCAAGGGAAACTCTATTACTATTCCTGGCCCCACATAATAGGCTCAGAGGTTCTAAACATTGTGTTCTTTTCGGGGGGTTTTTTTTTAAAAGGTCATTTCCTAAAGCCCCTTATAGGACTATAAGATCATTGCTACTCTCTGGATCTTCTCCAAATGGTCTCATGCATTTCCTGAACTGAGGTGCCCAGATAAGAACGCAGACCCTGAAACACGGACGGGGCAGAGGAGTGGAGTGAGAGGCTGCTTCCTAAATATGAAGCCCAAACAGTTCTCTATACGGCTTAACATGCCATTTGCTCTCTGAGCCATGTATCGCATTGCAGATTGATATCACTGGATAGCCATTCTTCCCCTCAGATTTCTCTCAGCAGGGTATATTAGCCACTTTGCAGCTATTATATCCATTAGCTTCTGCAATCCTTCCTACTACTTAGAAACTCATGGGTGGGATCTAAATGGCTGTGTGCAGAACTTCTCTGCGGCAGCAGGAGTTTCTCAGGCACAAGCCTCACTTTTTAGCAGTGCAGCCAGAAAAAACTCCCCAAAAGTCAATGAAGCTTTCAGAAAATGTTTCAGTGCACTGTGCATTGGAATGGGAAATTAGGAAAGCCCAATGCATGTTCGCTCACATAGAAGCTTGTGCATGCGGCTCTTTGGATTTCTGTGTGTGTGTTTGTGAAGTTCTATTACCTACGATGAATTTCTCATAAACATTCACAACGTTTTTTCTCTCTCTCAAAAGCTCTGGCACTACTTAAAAAGCAGCGGCTGTTTTCTCTGTCTGTGGCCAGTGATGGTTTGTCTGTTTGATAATGAGGATGATGTGTCACTTACTACAAAAAAATAATTTCAAAGTGACTTACATTTTTAAACACACACACACACCTTACAATGCCAAATTAAAATACATCAAAAGTCTTTTTTTAATTAACTACTCAAATAATTTCTATCAATAAGTATCAATCAGACTTCAAATGTTCAGCTCTTAACCAAGTTTTGGGCCATATACCATCTTCAGGGGATATTGCATCATGTCCCAAACCACAGACCTTGCATGAGACCTGGCAGTCAAGGGATTAATAGTATTTAATAGTCATGATGCTGCCACTAAATTCAGAAGTATATGACCAGACTTCTTAGAGCTCTTTGAATGCTTATTTTATTTTATTTTATTTTATTACAGTTTGGGTTTGCTCACCACATTTCCCCTTCTCCTCCTCCCTCTCTCCCTCCCTCCCTCCCTCCCTCCCTCCTCTTCTTCTTCCCTGAAAAGCAATAGCTACACGGCTTAATTTTACAGACGTTGCTCGTAGATCCTAAATTCAAATCTCTTAATGACTGCAGCTGATCTACTCTGATGCCACCAAAAGCACTTTAGCCAAGAGTACACTACTAGGTCCAAGCTAATATTTCAACAAAAGGAGTAGGGCAGGTAGTAAGAAATCTTTATGGAGGAAATGAAAACACAGGTGTGGCACTCATACCTATTATAGAATCACAGAATCATTGAGTTGGAAGGGACCCCAAGGGTCATCTAGTCCAACCCCCTGATATGCAGGAATCTGAGTGCAGAACCTGACATTTATCCCTATTGATTTTACATTTTGTTCCTGAAGTTGTTTGCAAAGATAAAAGGACCCATCACTGATTCCTAGTGGTCCGTGGTGCAGCAATAAAACTGCCAGCCCATTTGCAAAGCTAAGCAAGGTCTGGGATAGTTTCAAATTGGATGGGAGTCGGCGTGCTGAGATTTCTTGATGGCAGGGGGTTGAACCTTGGGGTTCCATCCAACTCTATGATTCTATGTTACATTATGCTCCGCTGTTCCATTTTCTCATTATCCCCTGTGAGCTGGCCACCTACGAACATCAACATTTGCATCCACATTCAGCTCATTTAATTCCCCTAACAAGATGTGCATAGCTCTATGGTGAATGTGTGAGTAATGTCCAAGAAGCAGTTTATACATTACTTTCCCTTTGACCACTTACTACCTAATCACATCATGAAAAGCTATATATGCATTTTAATGAACACATTAATCTTGATTCTTCACGATGCTCAGTTTGTCCAACCCAGATGTGTCCCCTCAAAATCCCACTGATTTTGCCTTAAAACAACTTTTTGGTTATTTTATTTATCTATTATATTTCTTAGATGCTTTTCTCACCAAGCACCTCAAAGCAAGTTACATTAAAGCCAACAATAAAAAAACTAAAACCACAGCAATACAAATAAATACTAAAAACACAGCTAAACAAAGTTTCCAAATGAGCCCATTTTGACAGTGCATCAGAAGTTGTTGTTGTTGCTGCTGCTGCTGCTGTTATTAAACACAGACACAGAACAGTAGGTCTCAGGGCAGCTTACAATTTAAAATTCAGAATTAAAAACAGTTAAAACTGTGCATCAGATCCTTTCTAGCCCATTTTATTAATATATATCCCATATAATACTTTTGTAAGTGGAACCCCCTGTCCTCTTGCTAAACGCTCATTTTGGCTATTCCTACCTAATGTCTTTTGAAGAAATGGAGGCAGTGAGAGATTTTACTTTCTTGGGCTCCATGATCAATGCAGATGATGACAGCAGCCACGAAATTAAAAGACGCC